GTGAGGATGGGATTGAAGGTGGTGGCTGTTGTGAGCATTAAGGATGGGGGAAGGACCCCGGGGGGTCCCACACACCAGACTCCCAGGGTAATACTGGGGATGGGGAGGGGGCAGGGGCGGGCTCCGATGTAGAGGTGGCAGCCGAAGAAAACGAGCCGAACGAGGTGAGAGGGGCGATAATCAGCTGAGACACTACCGAAGGGACTCGCCCCGGGGGGCACCGGGACCCCCGTGCCCGAGGCGAGGGGGCTCGGACCCCAGCTGGGGAGGATAACCATGCGAAAGGACAGCGGGGCCGCGCTGGGCGAGGGATGGGAAGGGGGCTCAGCCGCAGGAGCCGGGGATGGCGGGGGTTGGGGGCGGCGGTGGGGCGGGGCAGGGCGGCGGCCGCCCGCAGCAGGCCCGAGGCGCGGGCGGGCGGCGGCTGCTCCTCACCGTGAGGCCGGTGCCCAGCACGATCACGTCGTACTCCTCGTTCATGGCGGCGGGCGGTGTCGCGGCGGGGCTCTCCGGGCCGGGGCTGAGCGGAGCGGGCGCTGCGCGGGGGCCGCGGGAGCGCGAGAAAATGGAGCCGCCGCCGTGAGGGGACCGCGCCGGGGGGGCGGGGCCGGGCCGCCCGCGCCCCGCCCACGCGCCTGCCAATCACCGCCCGGGCCGCCGCGCCATTGGCCGCGGGGGCAGGGCCGGGCCGCCCGCGCCCCGCCCACGCCGCCGTGCCGATCGCGGCCCGGGCCGCCGCGCCATTGGCGCCACAGGCTGTCGGTCAAGGGGCGCGGCGCGCGTGCGAGTGCGGCCCCACGGGCTGCCGAGCTGGGGTCAGGCGGCGCGCGCAGGCGTGCGGGCCGGCGCTGCCACCGTGGTGGGGGCGCGGCGCGCATGCGCATGCCTGCCGGGCAATCTTCGCGGGAGCTCGGGGCATTTGGGAGGCTCGGGGGCAATTTTTGGGGAGCCCCATTTGGGGGAGATCGGGGGGCAGAATTTTGGGAGGGTGTCCTTATTTGGGGAGCTTGCCTCGATTTAGGGGAGATCATCAATTTGAGGGGGGTCCTCAAGGGGGTGGTCCTTACTTTAGGGGGGCTCCTCAGTTTAGGGGGTCCTTAATTTAGGGCGGTGTCCAGGATTTTGGGGTCTGTCTGAGTTTGGGGGGGGTCATCAATTTGAGGGAGGTTTCCTCAGTTTAGGGGTGGTCATCAATTTAGGGGGGGTCCTCAGTTGGGGTGGGGGGCTCTATTTGGGGGGTTCCTTAACTTGGGAGGGTCTCCTCAGTTTAGGGGGTCCTTAGTCTGGGGGGTGTCCCCAATTTGGGGGGAGGGTCCAGAATTTAGGGGAGGATGTCTCAATTTAGGGGGGGTCATCAATTTGGGGGGGTCCTTAATTTAGGGGGAGCTTCTCAATTTGGGGATGGTCCTCAGTTTGGGGGGTTTCTCAATTTAGGGGTGGGGGGATGCTCTATTTGGCAGGTCCTTAATTCAGGAGGAGGTACCTTAATTTAGGGGGGTCCTGTTTGGCGGGGTCTCTCAATTTAGGGGGTCCCTCAATTTAAGGGGGTCCCTCAATTTAGGAGGTCCCTCAATTTGGAGGGTCCCTCAATTTAGGAGGATCCCTCAATTTGGGGGCTCCCTGAATTTAGGAGGATCCTTAATTTAAGGGGGGGGGGATCTCAATTTAGGGGGTCCCTCAATGTAGGGAGGTCTCTCAGTTTAGGGGTGTTCCTCAGTTTAGGGAGGTCCCTCAATTTAGGGGGGGGGTTCCTCAATTTAGGGGGATCTCTCAATTTAGGGGGTCCCTCAGTTTGGAGGGTCCCTCAGTTTAGGGGTGTTCCTCAGTTTAGGGAGGTCCCTCAATTTAGGGAGTCTCCCAGTTTAAGGGAGTTCCTCAATTTAGGGGGAATCCCTCAATTCAGGGGGATCCTCCACTTGGGGGTTTTCTCAGTTTAGGGGGTCCCTCAGTTTGGAGGGTCCCTCAATTCAGGGGGATCCTCCCTTTGGGGGTCTCTCAGTTTAGGGAGGGGCTCTCAATCTCGGGACAAGCAATGATCATCCCAGGATATTTCTACTTCCCAAACGCAGCTTTGGGATTTCCCCCTTTCCCCCCAACCCCCTTTTTCCTCTCCCCCAGGACCACATTCCATGTGGAAAATCCCCCCCAGGTCCCTCCCATCCACACCCAACCCCCCGGTTTTCCCGAAGGGCTGAGCTTTGCCCTGCATTTCAGAGGGGGTTTCTGAAATGCCCCTGCCCCTCAGGGGGCGGGAATGCCCGGCTGGGGCTGGCACACCCCCTGGATCAGCAGCCAGGCAGGGAGCAGGGCCACAACGGGCACAGAAAAGGCGGAAAAGCTGCTTATGGCTCTCAGGGACGTGGATTAGGAACCCTGAGACCTCTTAACTTTATCCCAGGGCTGCATTCCCTGTCTCTGCCAGGACTCTGGGAACGGTGGAGAGCTCCAAAATCCCTCCCTGGGAATGAGCTGGACGTTGGGAATGAGCTGGAGAGACGGATGAGGAGATGGATCCTTTGGAGATGCCTCGTTTCTGGTGGCCAATCAGCGGGAAAGGCTTCCCACCTCTCCAGTATCCATGGAGAAGGTCCATGGGTGAAGGAACAGCCACTGCTCCGCACCAGCCACCAGGAATTCTCACTGGAAAAGTCAGTTTGGGATGGGAATGCAGGGCTGGAGGAATGTCTGTGCAGCTGGAATGCTGGTGAGGAGCAGGAAGGGCTGGAGGAGGAAGGAGAGGACAGGGCACAGCACTGGGTGGAGCTGCTCTTGGATCACGTCCACCAGGGATCACATCCACCAGGGATCACGTCCACCAGGGACACCAGGACTGGGACACAACCAGAGGGTGAATCCTTGGAGCTCACAGAGAAGGGGAAGAACAGGATAGGGTGGAAATCACCACCAGCTCCTAAGAGATAGGAAAAGGCACATCCCAAAGGGATACCTGGCCACCAACCCGAGGAAAGCCTGGGAGGAGTGGTGGAATCCTCATCCCTGGGGGGATTTATGGGAGGAGTGGTGGAATCCCCACCCCTGGAGGGATTTAAAGGACACCTGGATGTGGCACTGGGGGACGTGGTCAGTGGGACCTGGCAGTGCTGGGTTGGACTCGAGCGGCTCAGGGGGCTTTTCCAGCCTGAACGAGTCCACAAGCTGAGAAAAGGCCGGGAGATGGGAGGAGGAGCAGATGGGATGAGGAGCAGCATCTGCAGACCCTGAGCCTCAGTGTCACCCCACACAACAGCAGGAGGTGGAGCTGCTGGAGAGCCCAGAGGAGGCCCTGGAGCTGCTGCCAGGGCTGGATCCCTCTGCTCTGGAGCCAGGCTGGGACAGCTGGGGGGGATCACCTGGAGAAGGGAAGGCTCCAGGGAGACCTGAGAGCCCCTTGCAGGGCCTAAAGGGGTTCCAGGAGAGCTGGAGAGGGACTGGGGACAAGGCCTGGAGGGACAGTACACAGGGAATGGCTTCCCAGTGCCAGAGGGCAGGGACAGATGGGAGATTGGGAAGGGATTCCTGGCTGGGAGGTGGGGAGGGGCTGGACTGGATTTCCCAGACAAGCTGTGGCTGCCCCTGGATCCCTGGGAGTGTCCAAGGCCAGGCTGGAGCAGTCTGGGATAGTGGGAGGTCTTTTCCCACCCAAAGCCCAGATTTGGGAATGGGATTTGCACACACACAGCCTGGCCCTGCCAAGCCCTTCCCAGCAACATTCCCACGGACACAACGGTGTCCTGACTGCTCAGCTCCCACCCTGATGTGAGTGACCACAGCCCAACCAGCCAGAAAGATGGGAAGGGCTCTTCCCAGGGGGAATTCTGTGGAATGAGGCAGCCCCTTGCATTTCCCAGGTTGGTATGGAGGCCAGGAACAGATCCCTGGAAGGATCCAGGATTTTTGGAGGGATAAAAGCACTCCCTTGCCCAGCCAGGGGCTGGTCCAGCTGCCACCACCCAGCAGCACCTTCAGCATGGATTTGTTTTTCCTCCTGCTGAAGAAGCTCCTTCTCCACAGATGGAGGGACAAGACCTCTCAGCTCAGTCCCTGCCTGATTTGTGACCCCTCCTACCCCAAAAAAGCAGAATCCCGTTGGTTTTCCCCCTTGGCATTGTGCATAAACAAGGGCATTCCACGTTTCTATGGAATTTGCAATTCCAGCTCCTTTTTTTTTCAGCCTGATCCAAAGACCCTCAATGTTGTTGCAAGGCTGAGATCCCACTCTGGATTCCAGAAGATTTGGGATCAGTTTTGGGCTCCAAAAGGATATGAGAGGTTGATGCAACTTGAAGGTTCCCTGTCCTTGTCCAAATCCAGAGATGGAAATGAAAACAATTAAAAAGATGAGTGGAAAACAGGACCAAGAAGGGCCATAAACCCAACATTCCGGGTGGATCTTCTCCTTTGGGATGGCCGTGGGGTGGAAATGTCCCAGCAGGAGCCACGCAGGTCCCATGAGGTGGCACCATCTCCCTTGGGTATTTTTCCTGCAGGGAGCTGCAGCCTCAGCTGTTTGGATGCTCTGGGAGGAAGCTCAGCCCTGGAATTCGGGAGTGAAGGAAGAAGAGCCATGAATTTACAGCGATGGGGCAGCAGTGGGACACAGTCATGGAACGGTTTGGGGTGGAAGGGACCTCAAAGTTCATCTCAATCCATGGGCAGGGACACCTCCCACTATCCCAGGTTGCTCCAACCTTGCCTGGGACACTTCCAGGGATCCAGGGGCAGCCACAACTTCCCTGGAAAACCTGTGCCAAGACCTCCCCCCATCCCAGGGAAGAGCCCAGCCCCATCCCATTGTTTAAGCAATCCCATGTAATATATTTATCACATTCCCTCCCCAGTGCCAAGCTTGGCTCCTCCACTCGATTTTGGGGGAAAATCCCAAACGGATTTTAAACGGATCATTCCCTAAATCCAAACGTCATTCCGTGACCACAGACCCACCGTGTGAAACTCCCGCGGGGGCTGCTCTGGTTCCTCGTGTCTCACGTGGTGCCCTGGGACTCCTGGAATGCCTGGATGACCTGTGGCTTCCTGGCGAGCTGCCAAGCCAGCGTTCCCGAGCCATCCGCGCCGTCCCGGAGCCCGGCACGCAGCAGGAGCCGCACGGCCCCCGCCCGCTGCCCGGCCACGGCCGCGTGCAGGGCTGGGGATGGCACGGCCTCGGGATCCAGGAACGGCCTGGGAGCCACCCCAGGATCAGCCCATTCCAACCCCAGCACCTCCAGGGATCCAGGGAACGGCCTGGGAGCCACCCCAGGATCAGCCCATTCCAACCCCAGCACCTTCCCCTATCCCGGTGTGCTCCCAGCCCCGTCCAACCCGGCCCAGGGTGTTCCCAGGGATGGGAATCCAGCAGCCTCCCTGGAGAACCTGTCTTCCCCATGTCTGATCCCATGTGCATCCTGATCCCTGTGGATAATCCCTGCGGGTGCCAGTGGGGATGGATGAGGAGCTTCCCAAGGACACAGTGACACAGACACAGCACCTGGAGCCATGGAAAACATCCCAGGGCTGGATGAGCTGGGCAGAGCTGGGATTCCCTCCGGGAGGGGCTGGATGGAGAGAAGCCCCCAGGTGTTTTTAACCCAACGCCAAGACTGGTTCAGAGCTGCCAGTTTTGGCAGTGGCTGAGGCCATTTCCGTGGGGTTTGTTCCCGAGAGGGAGATGCTGCTGGAAGAGCTGACGGAGCCTCTCCCGCCGGGAATGCCGACCCCGGCTCGCCAGCATCACTATGGCAACTCTATTTACGTCCCAGCCCTGCATTATTATTTGCTCATGAGCCATTTCTGGGCTGTTTGCTGAGAAATCGAGGCTTGGAGAGCTCCTGAAATCCCTGCACTCGTCCCCCCAACCTGCTCCCGACGGGCCCATTCCAGCCAAATTCCAGCGAGGCGAAGAATCGAAGCTCCGGGAAGTCTCGTGGGAAAACCAGGAAGGTGGATAAAGAGAAAGCCTGGTTTGCATCCCTGCTCTTTCCCCAAGGAACAACTCTGTTCTTCCCCGAGGGAAAAGCCCCGAGCCAGGCACCAGGAATTCCAGCAAGGCGAAAATTAGTGAATGAAAATGGGAAAAAACCAAACCCCAAACCCTGTTTTCACGTCACGCTGCTCCCAGAGCCTTTGGGATCTGTGGATTCGGGATCTCCCTGCATGCTGTGCTGGGCAGGCATGGCACGAGGTGCCCTGGAGGTTGGGGAGCCCTTATGGAAGGAGTTGGGAGAAGGAGCAGCTCCTTCCTTACCGGAACGGCCCTTCCCGTCCTTGGCCTGGATGTCGGCGCCGAGGGCCAGCAGCGTCTGGATGGTGTGTGCGTGTCCTTCCTGCAGGAACAGGGAACCCAGGATCAGCTCAGCACGGCTGATCCCCTGCCTGGCCTGGGAGGGCACAGCTCTGCCCTGCCACGGGCACACCGGGAGCTGCTCCGAGCTCCGGAGGATCCTGCAGCGGGTGGAAGGCGGGGTGAGATGCCTGTGGAAGTGCAGGGGGATCCACGAGGCAGGGATTGCCCTGGCACAGCAGGAGCGCTGCTCTTATCCCATGGGAATGGCCAGGGAGGTGCCACCAGGCACCTTCATGGAATGGCAGGATGGTTTGGGTGGGAAGGGACCTTAAAGCCCATCCAGGTCCAACCCCAGGGACACCTCCCACTCGCCCAGGTTACTCCAGCCTGGCCTTGGACACTCCCAGGGATCCAGGGGCAGCCACAGCTGCTCTGGGAAACCCCTTCCAGCCCTTCTCCACCTTCCCAGCCAGCAATTCTTTCCCAATCTCCCATCTGTTCCTGCCCTCTGGCACTGGGAAGCCATTCCCTGTGTCCTGTCCCTCCATCCCTTGTCCAAAGCCCCTCTCCAGCTTTCAATTCCAAATCCCTGTAACTCCCAGTTGCTCTTCCCAAGGTTATTTCAGCCCCAAGAGCTGTTGCTCACCTGGCTGTGGATCTCCTGGAGGATTGCTGCAGGATTTGGGATGCCCTGTGAGATGCCACAGGCAGCCCTGACCTCACTGTCCTCCCTCCTCCCTCTGCCCAGAGCCAATCCCAGACTCCACAGGGCAAAAACACAGCACAGCCCCCACCCCTCTCCCCTCTCCCTAAATCAATCCTCCCTCCCTAAATAACATGCCTGATCTTGGAATTCTTCAATGCCATGAATTAATCTCTGTCGTGCAGGATGAGAGTGGAAAGCTCTTTTTTATCCCCACCACCCACTCCTCTCCCTCATTCCCGCAGGATTCCATAGCATCTTTCCTGTGCCCAAGGCTCCCCTTTCCCTGCTGCACTCTCCCTTTTCCATGGCAAAAACCTGGAGCCACGAACTGCTCCAGCTGCCACAGCCTGGGCAGCAAATTGAGTTGAAAAAAAGAAAAAAAAAAAAGCCATAATTTGATTTTCGTGTGTTTAATAAACACAACCAAAAAAAAGCAGGATAAAGGGGAAAAAAAAAAAAAAAAAAAAAAAAGAAATGAGGGTGTAAATCCAAAGTGACACTGGGCAAGGGAGAGAATCCCATCTAAACCTTCCCCTAATCAGGCAGGAGGGAGCTGGGATCTCCTCCAAGGCACACTGTATTCCCAAAAATCATCCCCTTGGCAACCAGGAGGGCTTTGTGGGAGCAGGAGGGAAGGGAGCTGGGGAAAGGGCTCCTCTGGGGGAGCTGCAATGGCCCAGCTGGGTCCCGCCAGCATTCCCAGGGACTGAGTGCCACGGAGGGCTTTGCAGGCACTGGGATGCTGCTTTGTTCCCACTGCAGGGCTACCCCAGGCTAGGAGTGCTGCAGCCTGCTTTAAAATCCCGGGATCCGGGCAGGGATATTCCCTGCCTGCCAGTTACCAGACATGGAGCAAGAATTCCAGGAGGGAGGGATCCTGGGCAGCAGGATTTCGGGATCCTGGGCAGCAGGATTTCGGGATCTGCTTTGCAGGACTCCCAGCCCATCAGGCCCTGCTTCCCATGCAGGAGGAGGAGGAGAAAGCTCCAGGGATTCTCCCTGCCTGGGATTCAAACCAGCCCCAGAGTGAAGGACACCGATAAGCACCGGGAGCTGCCCCCGCTTCCCAGCGCTCCGTTCCTGCCTCCCCTCTGCACAGCTGGACACAGGCACGGAATCATGGAATGGCCTGGCTGGGAAGGGACCTCAAAGGTCATCTGGTCCAACAGGAACATCCTCTACTAGCCCAGGTTGCTCCAAGCCCCGTCCAACCTGGCCTTGGACACTCCCAGGGATCCAGGGGCAGCCACAGCTTCCCTGGGAAATCCATTCCAGCCCCTCCACACCTCCCAGCCAGCAATTCCTTCCCAATCTCCCATCTGTCCCTGCCCTCTGGCACTGGGAAGCCATTCCCTGTGTGCTGTCCCTCCAGGCCTTGTTCCCAGTCCCTCTCCAGCTCTCCTGGAGCCCCTTCAGGCCCTGCAAGGGGCTCTCAGGTCTCCCTGGACCCTTCTCTTCTCCAGGATGAACATTCCCAGCTGTCCCAGCCTGGCTCCAGAGCAGAGGGATCCAGCCCTGGGAACAACTCCATGGCTTTCTCTGGAGTTGTTCCAGCAGCTCCAGGTCGTTCTGATGTTGGACCCCAGAGCTGGACACGGTATTCCAGGTGGGATCTCACCAGAGAGGGAGAATCCTCCCCTCCCCTGCTGCTCACGCTGCTTTTGCTTCCCAGGAAACGGGGAATGGGAGTGCCCAGGAGCAGATGGATGGGGACAGAGGATGAGCCAGGAATGCAACTCCTCCCCCTCCCAACCCAGGCGGTGGAGGCACCTGGCAAAGGCTTTTCCCAGGGATTCTGGGAACAGGGACCAACCTTGGCCGCGTAGTGCAGGGCTGGGATCTGCAGGGACGTGGCTCTTGCATTGACATCCACCCCCAGCTCAGACACCAGGAACTGGATGGATCCATCCTGGGCTGTCACCGCTGCCCTGTGCAGAGCCTGAGCTCCCAGGGCATCCATGGCTGTGGGACACGCCTGGAATGAAGGAAAGTCATGGAATTAACACACAGGGCACTCATCTCCAAAGGATATCACCCAGTTTCTTGAGGGCTGGGGGTGATTCAGGACCTCGGAGGCACCAACGCTTCCAGTGACTCCAGTGCTGCTCCATGGCCAAGGTTAATTCAGGGAATTAAATCAACTCTCCCACCTTCAGAGCCTGAAATGTGAGACTGAAACCGTAAGGGAACATCCCAAGCCCGTGGGAATGAGCCCTGAGGGGGCCCCAGCCAGCTCAGATGGCTCAGCCATCAATAAATGATCAATAAATAATGCAGGGGGTGGTTCCTGCCACGCACAATTGGCTCCAGTGACATCCCTGCCTTGGATTCCTGGGAGACAGCACGGGAGCAGCAGCTGCCTGGGGGGCCAGGGCTGAGCTCTGGCTGACACAGGGACTGATGTGTCCGTGTTACCCACCCTCAGGATGGCCACAGGGACTGATGTGTCTGTGTTATCCACCCTCAGGATGGCCACAGGGACTGATGTGTCTGTGTTATCCACCCTCAGGATGGCCACAGGGACTGATGTGTCCGTGTTATCCACCCTCAGGATGGCCATGGGGGGCTCCACACTGAGTCCTGGCATTGCCAGTGCCATCCCCTTCCACCAGCTGTGGGCACACACACGTTTCCTAGAGAAGCTGTGGCTGCCCCTGGATCCCTGAAGTGTCCAAGGCCAGGATGGAGCAACCTGGGAGAGTGGAAGGTGTTGGGGTTGGAACTGGATGATCTTCAAGGCCTCTCCAACCCAAACCATTCCATGATTCCATGATTGCTGCCCCAGGGTGAGATCTTCACCTGGAGCTGAGTCCTCATCTCCAGGGGGAATCTGCCTTCCTCCACAATTCCTTTCTTTACAATCTGGGAATTTTCTTCTTTCCCGTCCTGGCAGTTCTGGGGCAGGTGCTGGAGGGGGCAGGCAGGGGTTTTTGGCACCCACCTGGTGTTTCTCCAGGAGCATCCGGGCGATGTCGAGGTGCCCATTCTGGATTGCGTCCATAAAGGGAGTGACTCCACACCTGTCCCTGCTGTCAGGCTGGTAGTGGCACCTGGGAGAGGAGGAAAAAAAAAGCAAGGACAGAGCTGCTGGCAGCTCTAAAATCCTCCTGGAAGGAGGCTATCAGCACTGGGATCGAAAATGGGACATAGAAACCCTGATGGATAAACCTGTCTTGGTGGTTCAGGGCCTGGGGAATGATCTGTGGGGGTGTTTTGGGAGCAGAGAGCAAGCCAGGCCTCTACACATCATTTATAATTCCCTTTCCCCCTGCCCAGAGGGTCTCCAGGAAGGGCAAGGTGTGCCCTGGAAGCAGGGAAAAAAACAGGATCCTCAGGTAATGACAGGCTAAAATCAGAGCCCACAAATCTCCCTGAGGTTAAACTGAGAGAAAACTGAATTAAACCTGGATTAAACCCGAAAGCCTGGCTCAAATCACAGAGCTGGGCCAAGCACGGCCAGGTATTAACAGGGCTGGGATTAGCTGCGATTCCCAGGGACGGGGAACAGCGGCAGGGATGACTGGGCCGATTTACAGCCACTCCACAGCCCAAAAACAAAAGCTAAGCCCAGCCCAGCAGAGCTGTGCCCGGCACTGAGCCGCCAGAAACCCCGCCGTGTTGATGCTGCCCATCCGGCCTCGATGAATCAGCAGGGAAAGAAAGGCCGAGTTACATAACCGGGGCCGTGCCACAGCCCCGGCAGCGCATCCAGGGCAGACAGAGCCCTCGTCCCTGTCCCCGGGGCCCCCGGCCAGCTGGGAAAAACCTGGAGCGAGGGGAGAGCGCCGGGATGGCAGCGGACAGCGCCGGGATGGCAGCTCAGAGCGCTGGAGAGGGAGCGGACAGCGCCGGGACGGCAGCTCAGAGCGCTGGGATGGCAGCTCAGAGCGCTGGAGTGGCAGCGGACAGCGCCAGGATGGCAGCTCAGAGCGCTGGGATGGCAGCTGTGTGGCCGATGCCCCAGCGGGGCGGCACAGTCAGCCTTTGTCGTCCCGGGTCTGGCGGGCTGGCAGCAGGGGAGCAAAAAGCTGGGAAGAGCCTGCTTACCGCTCCAGGAGCAGCTCCACGACCTGGGAACAGCCGTGCATCGCTGCGAGACAGAGGGAACACGCGGGTCAGTCCCGGCTCCGCGGCACCCACCGCCCGCCTAACAGGGTACTGACCCTCCCGGCTCCAGGGGCCTGCAATTCGGGGGGTTGAACTTGATTCTTTTGGGGCTGTAGTTAGAAAAGCCTTTCCTTTCCTTGATCTCCCAGGAAAACAGGAGGTAAGGCAGGGAAAAGGTACGATACAGGCACTGGTCGGCTCTACCTGCAGAGCACACGCAGGGATTCAAGCCAATTAAACCCACACAAAGAGCTTTTGTCCCGAGGATTTGTCGATTCCCGAAGGGAAATCCAGGGAGAAGTAGAAGGAACACAGAGCAGGGAGCTGGGGGAAGAGCTGGGGTGGCATTTCCACCCCTCCTCAGCCACTCCCATCCCATCACCCTAAGGAAGAATCCTCACCCAGGCACCGGCTCAGAGGTGCTCAGCACCCTGCCCTGAAACATTCCCGGTTCATTCCCATTTTTTAAACATTTCTCATCACACAGCCTTGATTTGGCTTTTCTTTTTGGTGGTGGTGGTGGTTTTCCCTGCAGGTCATTTCGTAAAACAAATGGAATATATTAAAAGGATAATAATAATAAGGATATCAAACCAAGCCTGAAGCTGCTCCATCAGGAGATGGGAAAAGGGCCCCTGGGAAATGTGTGTTACCAGGAACAGCCTTCAGATGCTCCTTGAAATCCCAATCCCACCTTCCCAGATTCTGGCTCTTCTGAGCCCTGAGCTGATGGAAACACAGGCTGGGAAAGGGATTTTTGAATGGAGGCTTTAAAAAAATCCAACTCACAGGGAGAAAAATCACTCCAAGCAACACAAATCCATCCTTTCCCAGCAGCAGGAAAAGCTGCCACACTCAGATCCTGCTGAATTCCACCTCCTTCATTCCACCTTCCCAGCTCTCTTCCCTCAGGCTACGGATACAGGAAGCAGCAAAAGCTTAAGGAATCCACCCCAGGGAGGAAAATTATCCAGGGATAAGTGTGCCAGCTGGACTGGCCACGGGTCAGTGCCATATCCACACCCCTGGGGTGGGAACTCATGGACACGGGAGTTTGTTTGGACATGATTTCCCCTGGCAGCTCCAGCCCCTCCATCCCTGTGGATTTCCAATGGGATGGAGGGGGGAGGGAAATGGGGATATTGGTACCTCATGGAGCAGCTGCCTCTGGAATCATCCTGGTTTCAATTACACTGGGGAAGTGGTGGGTTAAGCAGCTCCAGCCATTCCCACCTCCCAGTCACTCCCACAGCGGCTGCTGCTCCACTGGGATCAGCAAAAGACCAGGAATCAACCCACAATCGTGGATTTGTGGCTTTTCCACAGGGAAGTCAAACAGAGGAGACAACACAGAGGAGGAGATACCTCTTTGGAGCAGAACTGAGCGTTGGATCCCAAACTCTGCATTCCCATATCCCAAGAGCTGTCAGGGAGGAGACTTCCAGCTCCAGGTGGAAAATCCCTCCTGTCCCACAGGATAATCTGCTCCTGATCCTGCCCCCAGATCCCAGCCCAACACCCCCCACTCTCTGAGAGGAAACACAAACCCGGGATGGAGCCGGGACAGGGGAACACACCCCAAAAAATCGGGATCTGTCACTTCCCACTCGGGCAAAGCCTGAACCAAACAACTCCTTGCCTTGCCTTTCATCCCCAGGCCAAGCACAAGGACTTAGGGTGCAGCTGGAGCCCGAGGGTGGAATTGTCAGCGCTGATGGAGCAGAGTGTGACGGAGCAAGGGCTGCAAAAGGAACGGGAATGACAGGCAAGGGGAGCGGCACATCCAGCAGATGATTCACAGCACAGCAGGGGGGCCTCGCGACACCTCGGCTCTTTCCAGACAGTTAATCCCTATTAAATTCCCTGGGAAAGGAGTGTGGGGCAGCCAAAGCTCCTCTCTCCTGTGGAGACACTGGAATATGCAGCCAAATCCCACTTGGGATGGGATTGTGTCCTGCTGCTCCCCACAAAGCTGGGGATGGATGTGGATCCCTGAAAATCTTCGTTCCCCTGCTATTTCCTTTTATCTGTCCTTTATATATCCTTTGGAAGCAAGGAACAGGACAGGGAATGGGAATTGGACATGGTGGGCCCCAACTCCAACATCTCCTGTGTATTCCCAGCAGGGATTATCCCTCCCCTTTGCACAAAGCAGCTCTGGATAGCTCCCCATGGATATCTCTGGATATCTCACCATGGGATAATTCTATGGATATCTCCCCATGGATATCTCTGGATATCTCACCATGGGACAATTCCTTCTTAAGAGTAAGGTGAGAAGAGCAAAACCTCGAATCCATGACTGGTATCATGGAATCATCTGGGTTGGAAAAGAGCTCTGAGACCACGGAGTCCCAGCTGTCCCCCAGCACTGCCAAGGCCACCACAAATCCACGTCCCCAAGTGCCACATCCACAGGGATTTGAAATCCCTCCAGGGGTGGGGACTCCACCCCTGCCCCTTCCAATGCCCTTTCCATGAAGGAATTTTCCCAATATCCAACTTAGACCTCCCCTGGAGCAGCTTGAGGCCCCTGAGGACACTGTAACTGATCAAAGGATCCATCAACAGGCAGATCCCAAAAGGTTCTTTTAGGACTTTTAAAGTGCCAGGATATCCTTGGATTTTCCCAAGGGCAATTCACAGCTTTACACACCAGCCAGGAAAAGTCTGCTGGGAGGTATTCCAAGATGTGGGAGCTTGGATACATCCATGACAGGGAGGCAGAGATGGACACCTTATTGCAAGGAGGCCAAAGCCAGTGGAGGATCTCCTGGGATGGATCCACCACTGTTTCCCTGTGGTTTTGCTTCTCCAAGATCAAAACAAGCTGGAACAACATCTCTTTTCCCTGGAACAACATCCCTTTTTCAACCCTCCTGCTTCCCAGGGGTCCCCCCTTTACCTGCCGTGTGCAGGGGCGTCCTCCTGACGGTGCTCTCCGTGTCCCAGATCCCTGGGGACACATCCAGGAGGTAGCGGAGCACCTCGGGGTGCCCCTCCCTGCTGGCAATGTGGAAGCAATTCCAGCCATCCTTGTTCCTCAGCAGCGGGTTGGCTCCGTGCTCCACCAGGGATCTGATCACCTGCAGGTTCCTCCTGGTGCAAGCCATCATGAGGGGAGTCCTGCAGGAAAATCCGGGAATCCAGTCAGTGGAATAACCTGGGAGCCAGGGAGCAGCAGGCCCGATGGCCCACCTGGATCCAGGGGATTTTACAGCTCAGAGTGCAGCTCCTTTTCCACACAATCCCTCAGAGCACTGTGTGTTTTTAAGGCAAATAAGGCTTTTTCCAAAGGTGAGGAAGCACCTAGATCCTGGGTTTTTTTAATCCATGGATGGAAGGGCACTGTGGGCCCGTGACACAAATCCAGGCACAGGCAGCTCATGGAATCTCGGCCTCCCCCTGCTCCCCCTGATGTCAGATCCAGGCTGGCACAGTCTCAATTCCCAGCACTGGAATGCTGCCCTTTGGAATTGCGTCAGTTCAGCTCTAAAGGAGCTGCCTGGGCTTTGACTTGGGAGGAGTAATTTATAACTTTTAGGAGAAACGGGGGGAAATCAATGACAAAGCTGGAATGTATCCCAAAAAGACACTGGATCCTGGGCTCATCCCACAGTGTGGGCAGCAGGAGGGGAGGGAGGGATTCTCCCTCTTGGCCCTGCTCAGGTGAGATCCCACATGGAATTCAGGTCTGGGGTCCTCAACAGCAGAAGGATGTGGAGCTGCTGGAGCAAATCCAGAGCTGCTCCCAGGGCTGGATCCCTCTGCTCTGGAGCCAGGCTGGGACAGCTGGGAATGTTCATCATGGAGAAGGGAAGGCCCCAGGGAGACCTGAGAGCCCCTTACAGGGCCTAAAGGGGCTCCAGGAGAGCTGGAGAGGGACTGGGGACAAGGCCCGGAGGGACAGGACACAGGGAATGGCTTCCCACTGCCAGAGGGCAGATGGGATATTGGGAAGGAATTCTTCCTTGTGAGGGCATGGACTGGATTTCCCAGAGCAGCTGTGGCTGCCCCTGGATCCCTGGGAGTGTCCAAGGCCAGGCTGGAACAACCTGGCATAGTGAAAGGGTTGGAACTGGAGGTTTAGGATCCCTTTAAGGTCCCTTCCCACCCCAACCATTCCACGATTCCACCTTCCCCACCCAGAAATCCCTCGGCCCCAAATCCCAGACCCACCAGTCGCCCTTTTTCAGGCAGTCCACGCTGGCCCCGCTGTCCAGGAGGAAGGACACGCACTGCCCGTGTCCCATGGACGCCGCCTCGTGGAGGGGCCTCTTGTAGTCTCCGTTGGCCGCCTCCAGGTCCATCCCCAGCTCCCGCAGCAGGAATTCCAGCACGTCCCTGTGCCCCAGGCGCGCTGCGTGGTGCACCAGGGTGTCCCCCAGGCGTCCCCAGCGCCAGCTCCTGGCCTCGGGAATGTCCTCCGGACGCAGCTCAGCCCTCAGCAGCTCCAGCCTCCCCTCCTGCACCAGCCGCAGGAGCCGCCGCCCCTCCCGCTCCGCCATGGGCCCAGTGCTGGGGAACGGGGACAGCGGGAATGGGGGGAAAGGGAGGGATATCGGGGTTCGGGCAGGGGGCTGGGATAACCAGGAAGGAGGTTTTCCCTCAGGGAAAGCGGGACTTGGCCTCTACCTCCAGGAATCTCCAGGAAAACTGGGGGTTCCTTTCTCCTAAGGAAATTCACAAAATGGCATCTCCCTCAGGATGGGCAGGAGTTCCCTTCTCCCTCAGGATGGGCAGGAGTTCCCTTCTCCCTCAGGATGGGCAGGAGTGAGTTCCCTTCTCCCTCAGGATGGGCAGGAGTTCTCTTCTCCCTCAGGATGGGCAGGAGTTCTCTTCTCCCTCAGGATGGGCAGGAGTTCCCTTCTCCCTCAGGATGGGCAGGAGTTCCCTTCTCCCTCAGGATGGGCAGGAGTTCCCTTCTCCCTCAGGATGGGCAGGAGTTCCCTTCTCCCTCAGGATGGGCAGGAGTTCCCTTCTCCCTCAGGATGAGGAGTGAGTTCCCTTCTCCCTCAAGATAAGTAAAAATTCCCTTCTCCCTCAGGATGGGCAGGAGTGAGTTCCCTTCTCCCTCAGGGTAAGTAAAAATTCTCTTTTCCCTCAGGATCAGTAAAAATTCCCTTTTCCCTCAAGATAAGTAAAAATTCTCTTCTCCCTCAGGGTAAGTAAAAATTCCTTTTCCCTCAGGATAACCAGAAATTTCCTTCTCCCTCAGGATAACTAAAATTTTCCTTCTCCCTCAGGAGAGGGAGAAGGAATTCCCCTTCTCCATCAGGGTAAGTAAAATTTCCTTTTCCCTCAGGATAACTAGAAATTTCCCTTTCCTTCAGGATGATTAAAATTTTATTTCCCTCAGGATAACCAGGAATCTCCCTCTCCCTCAGAGTAAGTAAAATTTTCCTTCTCCCTCAGGATAACAAAAAATTTCCTTCTCCCTCAGGATAACCTGAAATTTTCTTTTCCCTCAGAATAAGTAAAATTTCCCTTTTCCTTAAGGGTAACTAAAATTTCCTTTCTCCCTCAGGATAATTAAAATTTCCCTTTTCCCTCAGGGTAATTAAAATTTTCCTCTTCCTTCCAGAAAATTAGGAATTTCTTCAGGAAAACCAGGAATTTCCTCTCCCTTTATGAAACCCAGGAACCAGCCACTGCCTTGGTAAACCATAAATATCCTCTTCCCTTGGGAAAACTGGGAAGTGATCTCTCCTTCCAGAGAGTAAGATTTGCTTTTCCTCAGAAAAACCAGGATTGGGGCTTTCCCTTGGGAAAACCAGGAGATTCCTTTTCTCTTGGGAAATACAGGAACCAAAGGTTCCTTCTGGAAAAGCAGAAATTAAATTTTCCCTCTGGAAAAGCAGGATCCAGCCTCTCCCTCAGGAAAAGAAGGAACTGCCCTATATTTTAGGAGCAAAGAAATTCCCTTTATCCTTGGGAAAACCAGGAACCAGTTTCTGCCTCGGGGAAAAAAAACTAAAACAAAACAAAAAAAAAACCAAACCAAACAAAACAAAAAAACCCCCACACACCCACAAAACAAAAATGAAAACAAACACAAACAAACAAAACACACAGAAATTTCCTTTTCCACTGAAAAAAAAATGTCTTTTTTCCCACTGGAAAAACAAAGTGAATTTTCCCCGGGAGAAGGAAGTTCTTTTCCCTCAGGAAAAGCAGGAAGGGGCCTCTTCCTCAGGAAAAATTTCCTTTTCCAGCAGGAAAAATGGAACCCAAATTTCCCTCCAGAAAATCCCCTTTTCCTCAGGAAAAATCAGGAACCCGTCTCCTCCCCAGGAAAAACGTGTATTCCTCTTTTTTTTCCCCAGGAAAACCAGGAACCTGCCTCTTCCTCCAGAAAATCCGTAATTCCTCCTTTCCCCTCGGGAGCTGTCAGAAAATGGACCTTCCTTCAGGAAAAGCAGAAATTTCCTTTCCCTTCAAAAAAAACCCGGATTTTTCTTTTCCTTTAGGAAAACCAGAAACTTCCCTTTTCTCCTTGGAAAAACAAGGAAAGAGCCACTCCCTCAGGAAAAACGGGATTCTCCTTTTCCACCTGGAAAAACGGGAATCGGCGTCTCCCTCAGGTAAAACAGGGATTTAATCTGCCCTCGGGAGAATCAGAACGCGGCCTCTCCCTGTGGAAACACAGACATTCCCATTCCCCTCAGGAAAACTAAAATAACCCCTCTTCCTCTTAGGAAAACCAGAAGACCCTTGGAAATCCAGGGATTTCCCTTTCCCTGGGGAAAACACGGGTTTCCCTTCTTTCTTGTGGAAGATTTAACGATTTCCCTCTCCCTCTGGACAACCAGACACCAGCGTCTCCTCCAGGAAGAGCTGGAATTCCCCGTTCCCCGCAAAAAAAAAACCAACCAGGAATTCCCTTTTCCCTCCAGACCCCGGGAGGAATTCCCTTTTCCCTCCAAACCCCGGGAAAAATTCCCTTTTCCCTCCAAACCCCGGGAGGAATTCCCTTTTCCCTCCAAACCACGGGAGGAATTCCCTTTTCCCTCGGGAGAAGCGCGAACTCCCTTCATGCCGCGGGAATCCCAGGATCCCTCAGGGCGGGACCCCCCCGAGTTTCCCCCCTTTTCCCTCATTCCCACCCCACGGGCTCATTCCTGGCTTTTCCAACCCACCCGCGCGCCGCGGTGACGTCACATTCGGGGGCGTGACGTCACCACCGTGGCCCGCGGGAAACGGCCCCTGTCCCGCCCCAACCCGGAAGTGAAGCGCTATTGGTCGGCGCCGGGGGCGGGGCGGTCTCTGATTGGTCGGAGGAGGGGAGGGGCGGGGCCGGCGGAGCGCGGGGTCGAGAGCGGCGGGAGGGGGTGAGTGGGGGGGGCGAGACCATTCTGGGGACACAGGGGGCGGGAGGGGTCCCGGGAATTGGGGGTCTGGGCACTGGGGGGCCGAAAATGGGGGCCTGGGCACTGGGGGCTCCTGGGCACTGGGGGGCTGAAAAGGGGACCTGGGCACTGGGGGTGCTCCTGGGATGAGGGGGCTGGAAAGGGGGCCTGGGCACTGGGGGGCCTGAAAAGGGGGACCTGGGCACTGGGGGGCTGAAAAGGGGACCTGGGCACTGAGGGGGCTGGAAAGGGGGACCTGGGCACTGAGGGGGGCTGGAAAGGGGGTCTGGGCACTGGGGGGCTGAAAAGGGGGACCTGGGCACTGAGGGGGCTGGAAAGGGGGTCTGGGCACTGGGGAGGCTGAAAAGGGGGCCTGGGCACTGGGGGGCTCCTGGGCGGTGCGGAAGCCTTGGGAGTGGAGGGGGTATCAGGGATTGGGGAGACTTGGAAATGGGGGGCGCTTGGGATTGAGGGGGCGGGCAGGGAGGGGGTAAAGGCGCTCCCTTGGCACTGGGGGGACCCTTGGCGTTGGGGAGGGTCTTGCGAGTGGGAGGGGGCGAGCAGGGGGCCCTTGGCTGAGAAGGGGTTGGAAAAGGCGGGCCCTTGGCATGAGGGGGGCACGGGAGGGAGCCTTGGGAATGGGGGACATTGGGGAACCCTTGGAATTGGGGGGCACAGGGGGGTCTTAGCTGAGAAGGGGTTAGAAAAGGGGGTCCCTTGGCACTGGGGGGGAGCCTTGGAAATGGGGGGCTTTTAGGAATGGGGGACCCTTGGCATTGGGGGGAGGGCAAGCAGGGGGAGCCTTGGCTGAGAGAGGGTTAGAAAAGGGTTTAGGGGGGGCCTTGGGAATAGGGGATTGGAATTGGGGGGACCCTTGGCATTGAGGGGGCCTTGGGAATTGGGATTGGAATTGGGGGACCCTTGGCATTGAGGGGACCTTGGGAATGGGGGGTATTGGAATTGTGGGGGACCCTTGGCATTGAGGGGACCTTGGGAATGGGGGGGCTTGGCATGGGAGGACTTGGGAATGAAGAGACCTTTGGAACTTGAGGGGGGAACTTTGGAAATGGGGGCAGCAGGTCTGGGATATGGGGGGGTCTGGATCTGGGGGGGCTGCTCTGGGGATCTCTCCGTGTGGGTGCCATGGGATCGGTGCATCCGTGTGGGGAAGGGCTTTGGGAACAACGTGCTGGGAAGGGATGGGGAGTGGCCCCTGGAGTTTCCCCTGTCCTGATCCCAGCCCCATCCCTTGGCAGCTGGAATGTGTCCTGGCTGACATTCCCATGGGATGGAATCCCTGAACCCTGGCAGGGCCCTGCAGCACAACCCTTGTTCAGCACCGGCTGCTGCCACCCACGGAAAACCTGGGGAAAGCGGGAAAAATGGGAGTGCAGGTGAAGCCTGAGCGGGTTGTGTTGCATTGCTGGGCTGGAATCCTCTCCAGTGGGAGGGGTTTTTGTGACCCTGGGCTGGGGGAGCAGAGGTTTTGCCCCAGTCCTACAGCGGATCCGAGGGGTGTCCCACAGCTCCAGCAACAGGCACGGAGCTGGGATCCCAAATCTGACCCTGGTCATGACCTTGTGCTTAAAAGAATTGAGGCCCTTCAGTGATTTGTGCTGTTTAATCCAAAAAAATTTCCACTATCGAGCGAGAAATCCCATTTTTAAGTAAAAGTCTCAGAATCCTTTAGGTTGGAAAAGATCCTTAAGATCACCGAGTCCAACCATTCCCTCAGTCCTGCACTAAAAGATGTCCCTAAATCCCCCGGGAATGGCTTGGGCTGCTGCTTCTGGCCTCATTTTCCACCCTTTGAGGAAAAATGAGAGTGAGAAAAGAGCCCCCCTGGGGAGCCCGGTGTGGTTTTAGTGCTGAGTTGAGGTGGCTGAAAAGGAGGAAGCAGCACAATCATGGGGTGATTCGGGGTGGAAAAACCCCCCCAAAATCCTCAAATCCACCCATCATCCCAAGGGATGAACCAGCTGATCCTTGGATCCTGCTGGAGGAGGTCAGTGGATCCATCTGGGACTGTTCTAAATGAGTTAAATATAAGTTAATTAATTAAAGGAAGCGAAAGTGAAACCACGTGGGCGGAGTCAGGAGGGAGCTCATCCCGTGCTGTGGGTTTGGAAGAAGGAATTGGAGTTATTTGTGCTTTATTTCAAGTAAGGTTTTACTGTTTTATTCAGGTAAACTCTCAAGAGAGTTTTGTGCTGTTCCCTGAGTGGAAGTGGGTTGTGTTTCCTCCCTGAGGGAGGATCCCAGCTTGGATTTGGGGTCTCTCCCATGGGGTTCAGCGTCCTTGGAGATGCGGGGGATACGCTGCATTTACACGGGTGCTGTGGCTGTTTCCTCCGTGCTGTGTTGGAGGGAAAGCTGGAAAATGTGGAAGGATTCTGGATTTTTTGTGGTCTGCCTGTTCCAAAGAGTGTGAGGAGCAGGGACAGGGGTGAAATCCATGTTGGGGTGACTGCAGATAGAATCATGGAATCCTGGGAGGGTTTAGGTTGGAAGGGAGCTTAAAGATCATCCAGATCCAATCCCAGCACCTTCCACTGTCCCAGGCTGCTCCAGCCTGGCCTTGGACACTCCCAGGGATCCAGGGGCAGCCACAGCTCCTCTGGGAAATCCAGTCCAGCCCCTCCCCACCCTCCCAGCCAGGAACTCCCTCCCACTATCCAACCTAAACCCACCCTCTGTCAGTTTAGACCCATTCCATGTTATCCTATCATTCCAGGCCCTGTTTATCCAGGGAACCCCCCCTGAAACACCGGGGGGGGGCCTCTAAAGTTCCTGAGGGGGGAAGTGCTTTTGTCCCCGTGCTGCCCCCCTGCACTGTCACTGCTGCTCCCCAACACTTGCATGTGGGGTTTTCCCTCTCTGTGCGTGTCCGAAGGGATGAAGCCCTCCAGGAAGAGGCACCTCACGGCCCCCGAGTGCGCTGCCCTGGCCCGGAGCTCGACCGCCCTCACACAGCCCCTGAGCCAGAGCCGGGCGAGAGGAGACGGCAACAGGGGCCTGCATCCCACCCAGCCACGGAGAGCCCACAGAGGTGCGTTGGGTTGGGAATGCTCTGCGCTGCAGTCAGGCTGGGACAGCTGGGAATGTCCATCCTGGAGAAGGGAAGGCTCCAGGGAGACCTGAGAGCCCCTTGCAGGGCCTAAAGGGGCTCCAGGAGAGCTGGAGAGGGACTGGGGACAAGGGATGGAGGGACAGGACACTGGGAATGGCTTCCCAGAGCCAGAGGGCAGGGATAGGTGGGATATTGGGAAGGAATTGCTGGCTGGGAGGGTGGGGAGGGGCTGGACTGGATTTCCCAGAGAAGCTGTGGCTGTCCCTGGATCCCTGGGAGTGTCCAAGGCCAGGCTGGAGCAACCTGGGCCAGTGGAAGGTGTTGGGGTTGGAACTGTGGATGATCTTCAAGGTCCTTCCCAACCAAACCCTTCCATAATTCCGTGAAAAAGAGTTCCTTTGGCTACTTCCCTCCTGTTGTGTGCACAGCCTCAGGTGTCCCTGCTAGCTCAGGTTTCCATGGAATTCACTCCCGCTCTTCCTCCCTGGGCAGGACAAGGCCAGCAGATGAACATCCTGGATTTCTTTGGGAGATCCCAGAAGCAACAAGCAGGTGCTGGTGGGACGAAGAACTGTGGGACCAAAGAGGAGCCGGGGGATCCCCTTCTCCCCGGCGCTGATGATTCCTTCAGCAGCCACACGGACATCAGCAGCGACTGCTCCGTGCTCCTGGAGGAGGAGGACTCGGTGCCAGCTCCCAGGGGGAGCTCCAGGAAGCGGCCCCGCGCCGCTGCAGCCTCAGGAACCCCCAACCCTGAGCGGGATTTGTGGGGGGAGCCTGAGGAGGAGCTGCTGGTTCCTCCAGAGCTCAGCCAGGTCAAGCCGGAACCAGAGGATGTGGAGGTGGAGCCAGTCCCTGATTCACACTACGGGCTCCTGGGCACTCGGAGCTGGGAGGAGCCCCAGGGCAGTCTGGATGAGCTGCCTGTCGAAGTCCTCAGGAACATCTTTGCCTTCCTGCCCGTGACTGATCTGTACCAGAGCCTGAGCCTGGTGTGTCGCTGCTGGAGGGACATAGTCAGGGATCCACTGGTAAGGAATTCCCTGGGATTCATTCCAGCCTGTCCCTTCTCCTGCTCTGTCCTGTCCTGCTGTGGCTCCTCCCAACCATCCATGCTCTGTGTGTGTCTCTTTGTTCCTTTAAATCCCTTTTTTCACTCCTATTTTATTGGCTCTTCTGTCATTTTTTGGTCTCCTGGACCATCTTCAGGTGTCAGTCTGGATCCAGAGATCAACGTTGGGGCAACGCCCCTTTTTACATTCTTCCCCTCCATGGAAAAGGAGCATCCTGTGAGGCTCCACAAAATCCCACTCCACTCTTTTCCTTGTGGCCTTGCAGGGAATTCCTGCTGGAAGACTGGGAAGTGTGTTCTCATGGCTGGTGTTAGGTCACTGTCCTCCAGCCTCTGCAGTGTCTGTTGTGGCCAGGTGGGTGTAGAGGAAAGGCCTTGAGCTCTGTTTTTATGGAGTTGGGTTCATCTGAAGTCCAGATAAAGTTGGGAGCCCGTTTTGGCAGGAGGGAGGATCCCACCTGAGGTGTCTCCGAGACAGCTCTCCACTCACTGTTCACCCTGGAATTACCCAGCTTGGACCAGGAGGCTCCTCAGCCTGAGGTGGGAGTGGTGGAGACTGATGTCAGCCCAGACTCTGGTGGAGATCCAGAGTCCTCCTTCGTGCCATTCCCACGAATTTGGACGGGAATGGGCACAGCGCGGGAGGTGTCCTGCTCTGTCAGTCATCAGCCTTGGCAGAGACTGAACCAGTTAATGATTTACACCTTCTGGGAGCACCAAAAGGCTTTGGCAAACTGCAGAGAGGCAGCTGCTCCCCCAGCAAAGCCCCCCCTCCCCGGGTGCTGCCCAGGGACCGTCTGGAGGGATGAGTGGGTGCCGCTGTCCGGCTCTCCGGGCTGCAGGCGCCTGCCTGGGGCTGCCAGCTGGATTTCCAGGGAAGGGGAGAGCCTGGGAAGGGGCAGGTCCTGCCAGGCAGGAGAATCCCTTTTCTCGTGCCTGTGTCCTCATCCAGCCCAGGCTGTGCATCTGCAGTGCTGGAGCAGGGTGATGCACAGCAGGCAGCTGTCTCTGGAGATGGGACACCACCCAAGGGCCACAGCAACCCCCTGTGGCTCCAGGCCGGGCCAGAGGGGCTGCAGAGCAGCCAGGCAGGAAGGGAGCTGGGAGCTGGGATGGCCAGGAGGCTGAACAGGAGCCAGAGGGGGCCCAGGGGGCCAAGAAGGCCGATGGCTCGTGGCCTGGCTCAGGAGCAGTGTGGCAGCAGGAGCAGGGCAGGGACTGTGCCCCTGTGCTGGGACCTGGGGAGGCCACCCCTGGAGTGCTATGTCCTTCCACCCTTATCCTTCCTTTCCCTTCCTCTCCCTCGTGCATTTTCCCTAAAGCTCATCTTTGCACCGTGTTGCTGTGGGTGAGAGACACAGATGGTACCACCCAGAATGGACACACACATTTACCTTTGAAGCAAAATTGTGCCCAAAGAAACCCTCCACATCTGTGTTTACAAACAGAGATTGTTCAGTGTCCTTTCACTCTGATCCACCCCAGGGGATTTATTAATCAGAGCCTGGGGCAGGTCACAGCAAGTGTGTGGGCTGAGTGAGGAGCTGGAGAGACACATGGAAAATGTGCCTGAAATCCTCTCCCAGATCTGCTCTTCGCTCCCCAACACAGCCCAAAATGCAGAGTCCTCCCTGTTTTTTCCTGGAGAAGTCCAAGCAGGAGCTGTGGGGGGAGGGCAGGGCTTCAGGGACACAGGGGTTTTTAAGCACTCAGACCCTGCTTGGGGCTGAGCTGGGCAATGGGGCTGAAAATATCCCCCTTTTTTCTCATGCTTTGATATTTCAAACTGCACCAGCATCACCCTGTTCCCATCCTTCCAGGAAAAAACAGCTTTTTATGGCCATATTTCCAGCCTTTGAGCCTTTCTTTCCTGAGTTTTCTCTCTCCTTCCCAATCTCCTGTCAGGTATCTGTCCCCACCAAGCTGCTTTTTGAACTCCAGGTCTTTGGAAATCAGCTTTTTTGGGGGCTTATTTGCCACCAGAAACCTGTTTGGCAATGCTGTGAGGTGAAAGCCAGTGGGTTTGTGCTTCCCACTGCAGTTCATTCCTTGGAAAAAGCTGTACCACCAGTACCTGCTGAGGGAGGAGTCAGCCCTGCGCAGAGTGGAGCAGATCCTGCAGGATTTCTCCATCACAGAGGAGCAGGAAGGATGTGTCTTGGGGCTGGTCACGTGAGTCCAATTCACCTGGAGAGCCCCAGGCCTCCCTTGCTTTGGGGCTCCTCCCATCTTATCCCAGGGATCACCAGGAGAGGGGTGGGTTTGTCTCCCAAAGGGGCAGGAGCTGTGCAGGAAAATGAGGGAGGGGGAATTATTGTAGTGGTAAAAAAATCACTGATGGGGTTCTGGAAAATGGGGAAAAAGCTGTCCCTTTTCCTGTTCTGTCCTTGATAAAACCAAGGGCTTTGCTCAGATCTCTGTGGTCCAGAGGCCAATTTTATGTAGCAAATGAGTGTCGAATTAGGAGCAAGGTGGATCTGACCTCTGGAATCATGGAATGCTCTGGGTTGGAAGGGGCCTTGAAGATCATCCAGTTCCAAACCAGGCACACCTTCCACTAGAAGCAGACCTGGAGAGAGCCAGAAGGAACTTGCAGATGAAAGTATTTCAGACCTGGGAGTCACTTGTCTAAATGTCTCCTGGCACTGGAATGGGCTGGAAATTCTGAGTATTTCAGCCGGTGCAGATTTGGGATAACAGCCAGCCAGGCACAGGCAGAGCTGCTGCAGCCTCCCTGGGGTGCTCTGAGGGGAATTGCTGAGCTGGGGACTCTGTTCTCCTGTAACTCCTGTCCTCCCGCACAGGTTGGTGTCGGCCACGCCCGTCAGGGGGAAGGTGGATCCCAGCGTGGTGCTCCGGTGCTTGGGGAGCCACCACCTCTTCTCCAAGGCCCAAGTGTGCGTGGCCAACAAGCTACCCCATCTGCAGAGCAGCACAGGGGTGGGTTTCACGTTTGTTAGGGCTTTATTGAAGCTTTATTTAAACCTCGAGGGTGTTCCTGCATCTAAAGGCTCTCCCTCTGGGGCGTTATTTGAGACCGAGGAGGATTGAACTGTTTGTCATGGAATTCCTGGGGAGTTCTGAGGGTCGAAGCAGTTCACCTGCTCCTAAAGGCTCCAAGCTTTCCTCGCCTTTCCCTGTGCCAGGCTGAGAAGATGTGGGCCATCATTGCAGTCATGGTGCTGTTCTCCGACAGCGTGGGCGACATCCAGAGCCTGCTGGAGTGTGTGAGGAGACCCCGCTCCAACCTGTCGGTGCTGGAGGTGACCGAGGTGCTCTACTGCATCGCCACGCTGCTGTTTGCCATGAGGGACAGGAACATCCCCATCACCAACAGGTGAGGCCATCCCGCTCCGATTCCACGGGCAGGGACACCTCCCACCATCCCGCTGGCTCCAACCCACCCTCGGACACTTCCAGGGATGAGGAGCCCACGGCTCCTCTGGGCACCCTGGGCCAGGCCCTGCCCACCCTCCCAGCCAGCAATTCCTTCCCAATATCCAACCAAACTTCCCTCCTTCTTCTTAATGTGGCTTCCCCCTTGTCCCATCACTCCGTGCCCCTCCCTGACACTGGTTCTTCCTTCACTCCAAGTCCCATGGGATCCTCCTCCCCGTGCTTTGGGATCCATCCTGTGCCTCTTGTTCACCTCGAAGTGCAGGTGAAACCCTTTGGGATCACAGTGAGGATAAAATGAGGATTAAGGACACAGGTAAATTCTTCTGAGGAGAAAACTGGGAAGGAACTGCTCCGGAAAAGGAATTTATAGCCAGGAATTCACTTTGTTTTAATATTAATAATTAATTATCTCATTATCAATCATCTCCCGCAGCTCCCTGAGCGCTCCAGGCCTTCTGTTGGAATTATCCGAGGCATTGGTGGTGTTTTACGAGATTTCCTTTGTTGTTTGTGGATTTCCAGTGGCAGTTTCTGTTTTTTCCTCTCTCCCAGGATCCATTACAACGTTTTCTACTGCTTGTACCTGATGGAGAATTCCTCTGTGACCGCTGCGAATGTGGAAGAGGACACGCTGGCCTCGCGCTGCAGGCGGGACTTATGGTCCAGGTAACTCTTTTCCAGGTGATCCAAGGGGTCCTGAGGGAATGCTGGACGCTCCAGGGAAAGGGGAGCAAGTGTTTCATGTTGGGGACAGGTGGGTATGGACTCGTGCAGCTCCTTATCCTGCTTCTTTCCACCTCCACTGCCAGAGGAAAACCAGAATCTGGGGCCCTAAACCTGGAAAAATCGGATTACCAGGCTGAGTTTAAATGCACTGATGGGTCTGTCCTGGATTCATGGAATGGTTTGGGAGGGACATTAAGGATAAACTGATTCCAGACCCTCCCCACCCTCCCAGCCAGCAATTCCTTCCCAATCTCCCATCTGACCCTGCCCTCTGGCACTGGGAAGCCATTCCCTGTGTCCTGTCCCTCCAGGCCTTGTCCCCAGTCCCTCTCCAGCTCTCCTGGAGCCCCTTTAGACCCTGCCAGGGGCTCTCAGGTCTCCCTGGAGCCTTCTCTTCTCCAGGGGAACCCCCCCAGCTGTCCCAGCCTGGCTCCACATCATGGATCAGCAGGACACAGTTCTGTGTGTTCACAGAGTCCAAATCACCCCCAAAATCCCCTCCCCAATCCTCCCTTTCCCTAGGGATGTGGAGCTCTGGAAGGAGGGAAGTCCCTGCTGGAATTTTAACACGTCATTCCTGCAGAAACTCGAAGTTCAGGCAGCCCAGGCAGGGGTTGGCTTGTTGCTGGTGCTCCTGTAGCCCCCAGAAAATGTGGTTTTCCTTTCTGAACACCAGGAAAGAAACAAGGGAGCGGGATCTTGACTCCACGCCTGGTTTCTGGATCCTGCCAGAGAAGTGTTAACACCAACATTTATTTATTTATTTGCTTGCTTGGATATCATTTATATCTTTATTATTTCTTTTCGTCATTATTTTTTATGTTTATGTGGTAGATTTGTGTTTATGTTCATTTTAGATATACAGTGTATAATTATAATTATATATAATTTTTATATCTATGCATAGAGAGAGAGATTAAAAATTATTGATAAATATTAGCATTTTTTGCTGCTTGCTGCCTAGAAAAGAAGGACAACAAGGAGTGAGACACTTCCCTGGCCTCTGGAGATCCAGGCTTGGTTCCCTTTTTGCTGCATTTACCCTGGATTGACTCATTTATTCCTTGTCCTTTCCTATGGAATGGGAATGCAGTGATTCCATCCCCAGCCAGCACAAAGCTGGTTTCCTCCTCAGCGGGTTCGTGCGGGAGGATTTTATTTCTTTTCATTCCTTTTCCCTTGGTTTATTGTTGTGGGTTTTTCCCGTTTTTTCCCAGCTGTGATGAGGTACAACTGACCCACGAGCAGCAGAGGATTCTGAACCACAGGATCCAGCCCGGGCAGATCGTGAAGATCATGGCGTTTGCAGGTGAGAGCCCGGAATGCCACGGGAAAACCACGGGAAGAGCCTCAGTGTGCCCTCCCATCCAGGGCCTCCTGCCCGGGGACAGCACGTTCCGGGGATCCACTCTGGGATAACGGATTGAAGGGGAAAGCCACCCCAAAATGGGAACAAAACCAGCGGGGAGAGGAGCGGGAATGTGTGGGAGAAGAGCCCTGCAGGGCAGGGAGGGTGGAAGAGGAGAGGCTCCAGGTGCTGGGGCAGGGATTCCATGTATCCATGGCAAAAAGGGATCCACACTGGAGCAGCCTGTTCCTGAAGGACTGACCCTGTGGAAAAAGAGATCCACACTGGAACAATTCCTGAAGGATTGACCGTGTGGAAAAAAGGGATCCACACTGGAACAGTTCCTGGAGGACTGACCCTGTGGAAAAAAGGAACCCACACTGGAGCCAATCTGTTTTCCCACCTAAACAATTCCCTGATTCCCTGAAATCAGGAGTGAAGAGGGGAGGGATGAGGAGAAGGTGTTTTAGGCTTTAGCTTTTATTCCTCTTTTCCCTCCGCTGATTTAATCGCCAATAAATCAGATGAATTCCCTCAAGCCAAGCCTGTTTTACCCGTGGTGGGAATTCCTGAGGGATCTCCCCCATCCCTGTCTCAACCCATGAACCTTCCAATCTATTTTCCCTCTTTTTTTAAGCTTTTAGGCTGCAGATTGGAATTTTTCTTAAAGCTGATTTTGCTCCATTAGGCACCAGACGTTCCTGCCATGAGCTTGGGACTCCGGAATCCTCATCTTGTCCTTCCTTCCCTTCTCCAGGCACAGGGAAAACCTCGACCTTGGCCAAGTACACGGAGAAATTCCCGGAGCTGAACTTCCTGTATGTGACTTTCAACAAGGCTGTGGCAGACAAGGGGAGAAGGGTCTTTCCCAGGAATGTCACCTGCAAGACTTTCCACTCCCTGGCGTTTGGGAGCGTCGGGAAGCAGTGAGTAGGGATTTGGGGATTCCCTGGGAAGCAGTGAGCAGGGATTTGGGGATTCCTCAGGGAACAGGAGCATCAGGAAAAGGGGGTTGGGATTAAAACTCCAGGATCTGAAGGGGAGGGAATTATTTCGCCTGCTCCAGGCCGGGCCAGGATGTGGGATTTATGGGCATCCAACTGGATTTTTAGGATCCTTAGGAAAACCCTCATGTCCCTGCTCTGCCACAAGGGGGCTGCCAAAAAACCCCTTGGGTTGGGGTTGAGGGGCCAAGGGGCAGTTCCCAGGGAGATAAAAATCCCCTTGGGAATGGCTTTTTCCACGCTTCCCCATTCCCAAGGTATTTATTTGCAAATAGGTGTTAATTCTAAAGGTATTCCTTGGCAAATGGGTGCACATTTTAAAGATAATTCAGGTTTTAAGATATTCCATTGCAAAGATGTGCAGGTTTTAAAGGTATTTCGTGACAAATTGGTGCAAATCTTAAAGGTGTTTATTTGCAAAGATGTGCAGGTTTTAAAGGTATTTCATTAGAAATATTAGAAATAGGTGCAGATTTTAAAGATATTCAAATTTTGAAGGCATTTCATTGCAAATATGTGCAGATTTTAAAGAGATTCAAATTTTAAAGGTAGTTTGTTGTAAATAGGTGCAGATTTTCAAGATATTCAGATTTAAAGATATTTCATTGCAAGTACGTACAGATTTTAGAGATATTCAGATTTTAAAGGTATTTCATTCCAAATAGGTGCAGATTTTCAAGATAGTTGGATTTTAAAGGCATTCCCTTACAAATAGGTGCAGATTTTCAAGATAGTTGGATTTTAAAGGCATTCCCTTACAAATAGGTGCAGATTTTCAAGATAGTCAGATTTTAACATTATTTCACTGCAAACGTATGCAGATTTTCAAGACACTCCTTTAAAACGTGGGCAGATTTCCGAGGCGCTCCTTTAAAACGTGGGCAGATTTCTGAGCTGCTCCGCTGTGGGGCTGAACAGGGTCACACATGCTGGGTTTGGGAGGGTCGGTGCTCTCCAGAAGCTTTCCCCGTGTTTTAACCCCCTGTTCGTGTTCTCCCCTGTGTCTGGCACAGCTACAAGGAGCGGGGCCGGCTGGCCTTCTCCAAGCTGTCGGTGTTCTCCGTGGCGTCGCTGCTGCGCACTCGCCAGGGCCAGGCGCTCTTCGTCAGGGCCAAGACGGTGTCGCAGACCCTGGAGAGCTTCTTCGCCTCCTCGGACGAGGAGATCTGCGAGGAGCACACGCCCGTCTGGTTCAGGAACACCCACGGGAACATGAGGCTCGTCAGCCCTGAGGAAAAGCGGGTGAGGGGTCGGGATTGGGATCGGGATTGGGACTGGGGTTTGGGGGGGGCTGCGGGCGTGGCTTCTGTTGGAAGGTGCCAGAAGTTTCCCCCGTGCCATGGAGCTGATTCCAGCTGCTCCAGGATGGGATTCCTGCTGCTGGCCAAAGGCTGAGCCGGTCAGGAATGGCAGTAACACGTCTGGGATAACGGATTTAGGGACAGAGGGTTGTGGGGCAGAAGGAATTGCAGCCAGGGCAGAGCGGAGTGGGAAGGTGGGAACAGCAGTGCAGACACCTGGGGGGCAGGAGGAGCTCCAGGAGCCCCTGGGGGAGAACAGGGGGGGCAGCTGAGCCCCTGTGCCTGTGGGGGGGACATTGGGGTGAGAGACCCCCCTGTGCCTGTGGGGGACATTGGGGTGAGAGAGCCCCCTGTGCCTGTGGGGGACATTGGGGTGAGAGACCCCTCTGTGCCTGTGGGGGACATTGGGGTGAGAGACCCTCCTGTGTATGGGGGGGACATTGGGGTGAGAGAGCCCCCTGTGTATGGGGGGGACATTGGGGTGAGAGACCCTCCTGTGCTCATGGGGGAGCTCCTGCAGGATCAGGGGGATGCAGGAAGGAGGCTGTGACCCCAGGGGAGGCCCCAGATGGATCAGGGGGATGCAGGAAGGAGGCTGTGACCCCGGGGGAGGCCCCAGATGGATCAGGGGGTGCAGGAAGGAGGCTGTGACCCCATGGGAGGCCAGGGGAGGAGGGAGAAGGTGGGAGGAAGGAGGGGTGGGGGGAAGGTGTTTTTGGGCCCATTTGATCTCTCCCTGTTGGTGTGATCCCTTTATATTTGATTCATATTTTATTCATATTTGATTTCTATTTTGTTTATATTTTATTTATATTATATTCACATTAGATTTATAGTCTACTTATAGTCTATTTGTAGTCTGTTTGTATTTTGATAATAATAGTATATCAAGATTTTATAAGCACCCAAATAAATATATCATTAATAAATACAAGATAATAAACAAAACATTAAGATTATATTTATACCAGTGCCTGAACAGTGAGGTAGCTATATAATATATACAGAAAATTAACCCCTTTTTAGGTAATTTTAGATCAGAAACCCCAAAAAGGCTTCAGGGAAAATCTGTGCTTGGAATATTTGTCTGCTCAGAGCAATTTATCCAAGTTATCCTGGTGCTTTTTCCCATCTGCAGATCATCGTGGAAGAGGCCAAAGAAATATGGCGCAACATGAAAAAGCTGGATGGAGACGTGGAGAAGAGATACAAGATGACTTGTGATGGTAAAAGGGGATAAAAATGGCAATGCTTGTGTTATAAAAATAGAATAGAGAGCTGTGGTGGGAAAAGAAGGGGATTTGTGTTTTCTACTTCCTGATTTTTCATCCATCCAATTTTATGAAATGAACGAGTTTGGACAAATACGTGGAGAATTTAAGGATACTCCATCACAAATGCGTGCAGATTGGACAGATATTCTGTGTTTAGGTCTGGGAATCAGCTGGAAGTTGCTGCCAGTGTGTCCTTTCCTCTGGTGCCTCGGGATGTGAGCAGACAGTGCCAGAAAACCTGAGAAAAAACACCTTCTGGGCATTTTCTGTGGCTCCGGCACGACCTTCCCGTGGGATGGCCAAGGGACACCGAGCAATGTCTGCGAGCAGCAGGAACTTGGGCAACCTTGCAGGGGTCCTGGGAATTCCAGGCCAGAGGTAGAGCTAGAAACATTTAGGAAAAAAAATGGAATAAAAGGATGTATTTGAAGGACCAGAAACATTAAGAAAAAAAACCACAAAAAACCAAAACAAAATAAAGGGAAAAAGGGATTTATTTTAAGGGTCAGAAACATGGAAAAAAAACCCAACAAAACCCACAAAACAAAAACCAACCAAAAATCCAAGGCAGGCTCTGGGGGGGTTGTGCTGATGGAATTCCCCTCTCCCCCACCCTGCCCTTCCCCTCAGGGTACCTGAAGCTGTGGCAGCTCAGCAGGCCCCAGCTCTCAGGATACGACGCCATCTTCGTGGACGAGGCCCAGGATTGCACTCCAGGTGGGCAGAGCCTTGGCATTCCCAGGGGGATTCTCCTGGGCCTGACTTAGGCCGGGTGTAACGTTAAGGCCCAGCCCTGGCTCCCTGGGCCGTGTCTCTGGGTGACGGGGGCGCCGCTCTCCTGCAGCCATCGTGGACGTGGTGCTGTCGCAGCCGTGCGGGCTCGTCCTGGTGGGGGACCCCCACCAGCAGATCTACACCTTCCGTGGCGCCGTCAACACCCTGCAGGACGTGCCACACACACACGTCTACTACCTGACACAGGTGGGGCTGTTTAATACCTGACACAGGTGGGACTGTCCACTACTGACACAGGTGGGGCTGTGCTTCCCAGGGCGTCCTCAATCCAGGGAAAACACCCCTCGGCATTCCGGGGCAGGGGTCCAAAGGTCCCACCAGGCTGCTCCTGGAAAACCTGGTCGTTCCCAAACAGCTCCCACCAAGCTGCTCCTGGAAATCCTGGTCGTTCCCAAACAACTCCTGCCAAGCTGCAGCGGTTGGTGGGAATTGTATCATTTGGGTTCAGGAATGACCAGATTTTCTAGGAATAGCTTGGTGGGAATTGTATCATTTGGGTTTAGGAATGATCGGGATTTCAAGGAATGGTTTGATGGGAATTGTGTCATTTGTATTTAGGAATGGCCAGGATTTCTAGGAATAGATTTGGGGGGGTGGTTTGGGTGTTTTTCCAGGAGACAAGTTGTCCAGAAGGTTGGTGGGAGTTTTATCATTTTGTTTTAGGAATGGCCAGATTTTCTAGGGATAGCTTGTTGGGAATTGTATCATTTGGGTGTAGGAATGACCACAATTTCAAGGAATGGTTTGATGGGAATTGTATCATTTGGGTGTAGGAATGACCAGGATTTCTGGGAATGGTTTGATGGGAATTGTATCATTTGTGTTTAGGAACGACCAGGATTTCTGGGAATGGTCTGAGGAGCTTTTGGTGCTTTTTCCAAGGGAAGAGAAGTCTGGGAGGCGGGTGGGAATTCTGTCATTCCCCCTATTTGGCAGATTGTAACAAATTCCTCGTCTTTTCCTGCCCTTTCCCGGTTTTTCCACACAGAGTTTCCGGTTTGGCCCCGAAATCGCCTACGTGGGAGCCACAATCCTGGACGTTTGCAAAGGGATCCGCACCAGGACCCTGCTGGGCGGGACCCAACAGGGTGAGTTGTGCTGGAGCCTCTCCCAGCTCGGGGACAGACTCTGCCTCAATTAACTAATTCATCCCTTTGAGCATCCCATAATTAATCCACGTTGGGAACTGATGACAACGGAAACAGGGAATGTCAATGCCAAGCGGAATAAATTAAAGGGAAAAAATTGGATTGTAAAACGTAAATTCGAGTTTACGCTTCGAGTTCGATGTTTAGAAAGTTAATTGAGTTTGTAAAATTCAGTTAGGAAGAAATATTTGCAATAAATAATGTATAAAGTGACTAATCATTCATAATCAATTAAATGAAATTCATTACATTTCATTTCAAAGTGAGATTTTCATTTCAAAGTGAAATTTGAAATGACATTTGAGTTTAGCATAGCTAATAATTAACATATAGTTATACAAAAAAGATTGTTATATAGTTATTATAGTTATTTTCTAAATGAAATTCAGAATTTAACGAGCAGAACTCAATGAAATGTATCAAAGTGATAAACAAACACCCCAGTTAAATCCACATTAAATACAGGAACAAATCCAGAGCTACAACCCCTTTCCCATCCAAAACCACGTTAACCCCATTCCCAAACCTGGAAATCAGTTCAATTAATCAAATCAGGGTACATTTCCCCCTGAAGGAGCACTAGGGAGCTGAGCACTGGTGGTGTGGGGCATTCCTGGGATTCCCGGCAGCTGCTGCGGATCCCTGGGAATGTGGGAAGGTGTGGGAATGTGGGACCATGTGGGACTGTGGGACCGCGTGTGTCTGCAGGTGCCGTGCGGGGCTCCCTGGCCGGGCAGATCGCGCTCCTGTCCCGCAGCAATTCCAGCGTCTTCGACGACGCCATCAAACTCACCTCGAGGGACAGACACATCCCCATCCACCTCATCGGGGTACGTCACAGCGGCCAGCACCCCAATCCACACCCCAAATCCAGCATCCCCAGCACCCCAATCCACACCCCAAATCCAGCATCCCAAACAGCTGAATCCTTCATCCCAAACACCCAAATCCAGCGTCCCAAATCCTTCATCCCAAACACCCAAATCCTTCATCCCAAACACCCAAATCCAGCGTCCCAAATCCAGCATCCCAAACACCCAAATCCTGATACCCCAACATCCCAAATCCAGCATCCCAAACACCCAAATCCTGACAACCCGACATCCCAATCCCAGCATCCCAAATATCCAAATCCCAAACACCCAAATCCATCATCCCAAACACCCAAATCCATCGTCCCAGACACCCAAATCCAGCATTCCTGGCCTTGGCATTGGTGTTCCACAGAAAAGCAGGAATCTGGGAAGGAATTTTGGAACCATCCACCTGGAAATCCGGGCAGGCTCAATCCCATTTTCAGGCTGATTTATCCCGGTTTTATCCGGCTTGAGTGGGAGGGGGCAGGAAAAGAGGGATGGAACAAGTTTCTGGAGGAGCTGGAGGTGGTTCTGGTGCCTTTGGATTTAAAAATCAGCTGGAATCGAGTGTAAAAGCAGGGAAAGAGTAAACATTTTCCATGTTTTCTTGGGAGACAACAGCAGTGATTGAAGCTGGAAACAGCCTTGGGATGTACCAGGGTCATCCCGGATCCCCACCCTGTGTGCCTTGATCCCTCCTCAATCCACCCAGGAAACCCAGGGAAAACTGGGGCCTTTTTTGGGTGAGGGAAATGGGGAGGAGCTCAAAATCCCCAGGAATTGTTTCAGCTGATCTTTGGAATTTTTCGGCCAATATTCCGAATTTTTAACCTTATTTTTCTTTCACCAGAAAGCTGCAAATTAAAAGGAAATAAACCCTTGGAGTGGTGGCTGCCCAAAAATTTGCAGTGCGGAATAAATTAATTATCTTAACCAATAAATAAATAAATAAATTTCTCTTCATCATCTTAATAAATAAATTAATTAATTAATCACGATTTTCTTCCGAGGGAACAAACCCAAGAGAATTTGGAAATGAGGAGTGGGGGGGAGAGGGGAAAAAATACTTCTTGAAAGTAAAAATGCCCCCCAAAAAAAGGAGGTTTTGGGGCTAATAACTCCATTTGTGGGTGTTTTTTAGGGCCTGGCTCGGTTTGGCCTGAGCAAGATTTACGATATCTGGAAACTCAGCCAGCCTGCAGAAATCAGGGAGAGAGGTGAGTACTGGGCTTTTTCAGCTTCCTTTTCCATTGCCTCCTTAAATTCTCCGGGGGAAGAAACTGGTTTGTTTTGGTTTTTTAAATTCACACCCAAGCTCTATATTAATCTATTAATAGATAATTAATTTTAATATAAAAGTTATATATCTAATACAGACAATGTGTATTTATTATTTATAATTATAATTACAAATATTGTTACTATATATTCCTATATATTGATAATTGCTATATTAAAATATTGTTATATATCAATATAATATATTACTAATAACACTAAACCAAAGACATTATAATTAAAATTTCATTAAAATAAAATAACATAAACTCTTATAAATACTATACTCTTTACATTACATTATATTTATTTTATGATAATATAATATTTTGATATGTAATATACACATCTATAATATAAACATATTGTGATAATTATAACAGGTGTGTATTAGATTATAGTATGATGTGGCATATAATGTATGATATAATAATGTATTGTAATATTATAATTTATTTGTTATCATAATACAGTATATTAATAATATTATAGTACTTATCATTAATTTTTTTAATATAATACGATATAAACACAATACACTGTTGTCCCCGTTCCCTGCAGACAACCTGGAGATCAGGGATCCGTTCATCCGGAAGTGGGCGGACACGCAGGGGTTCCCGGGCCTGAAGGAATACGCGGCGCACGTGGATGACCGGGAGCTGCAGGTGAAGATCTCCATCGTCGACAAGTACCGGGAGCGCATCCCCGAGCTGGTGCGGAAGATCGAGGCGTCCCACGTGTACCAGGAGTCCCTGGCAGGTAAATCCAGGGATAAAGGGGCAAATCCACGTCTCCCTTCAGTCCCGAATCCGACTGATCCTGGGAACAGGCGCAGTTTGGGCCGAGTTGGTTTTTCGGGAGCAGGGAGGTTGAACAGGAGCTTTGGGGAATGGATCCCTCTGCTCTGGAACCAGGCTGGGACAGCTGGGAATGTTCATCCTGGAGAAGAGAAGGCTCCAGGGAGACCTGAGAGCCCCTTGCAGGGCCTAAAGGGGCTCCAGGAGAGCTGGAGAGGGACTGGGGACAAGAGATGGAGGGACAGGACACAGGGAATGGCTTCCCAGTGCCAGAGGGCAGGGACAGATGGGAGATTGGGAAGGAATTGCTGGCTGGGAGGGTGGGGAGGGGCTGGACTGGATTTCGCAGAGCATCTGTGGCTGCCCCTGGATCCCTGGGAGTGTCCAAGGCCGGGCTGGAGCAGCCTGGGATGCTGGGAGGTGTCCCTGGGGTTGGACCTGGGTGGTCCTTCAGGTACCTTCACCCCAAAGCATTCCATGGGTTTGTGATTCTGTGGATATTTCAGTTGCCCTGACTGAAATGTGGGGAGGGGACGAAGCAATTGGGTAGGAAATCCCTCAAATAAAGAACATTCCCATTTGGAAACCAGGGCTGGGAAATTCCTCCAGCTCTCAGGAGTCCCGGACAGAGGAGCCTCTGACTCCCGTCTGAGGAGAGATGAAATCAACAGCCATTGAAACCAAATTCAAAACCGCCACCTTTGCTGCCATCCTGATGATTTTCCCTCCTTTCCTCCCTGTTCCCACGTGTGCTGGGCCCAGATTATCTCATAGGGACTGTCCACCAAGCCAAAGGCCTGGAGTTCGACACGGTGCTGGTTGCAGATGATTTTGTGAAGGCCCCGGTTGGGAGCGGCGCTTCCCAGAGGAGAACCAACCTGGCCATCGGTGAGGGAACAGCAACCTGCGGGGCCAGGCTGGGCCGGGAGGGGGAAAACAAAGTGTCCCAGGAAGGGAAGGGGCTGGAGAACTCCTGAGGGAGCTGGGGGGGCTCATCCTGGAGAAAAGGAGGCTCAGGGGGACCTTCTGGCTCTGCAAGTCCCTGCCAGGAGGGGGGAGCCGGGGGGGGTCGGGCTCTGCTCCCAGGGAACAGGGACAGGAGAAGGGGAAACGGCCTCAAGCTGTGCTGGGGAGGGGCAGGTTGGATATTGGGGAAATTCCTTCCTGGAAAGGGCAGTCAGGCCCTGGAACAGGCTGGAGTGCCCACCCTGGGAGGGATTTCCAGTCCCTGTGGATGTGGCACTTGGGGACATGGTCAGGTGTGAGGATGACAGAGCTGGGGATGGTTGGAATCCATGGTCTGAAAGGGCTTTTCCAGCCTTAAGGATTCTCTGATTCCATGGATATTCCTGCCACTGTAGCTGTGTAGCAACAGAGAAGGAGCAGCTCCAGGCTTGGCAAAGCCGCTGCCTTCCTTGGGTTCCTGTTTTTTGGAGTTGCTGGGCTCTCTGCAGGGAGCAGAGGGAATGCAGGCACGGGAATGTCCCCCCGTGCCCAGTCTGCGCTCCACAGGCGGGAGAACATGGAGCTGGGAGCGGCTTCTCCCATGCAGCCCTTCCTGGGCCCTTGGCCAGCCTGGAGGAGGCGTTGGCAGGAGGGCAGAGCTGTTCCTCCCTGCTCCCTCAATCCCTGGCTCCCCTCTGCTCCCTGCCAGGCGCGGTCCCGGAGGATGAGTGGAACCTGCTCTACGTGGCCGTCACACGGGCTAAGAAGTGTCTGCTGCTCTCCAAATCTCTGGAGCACCTCCTGACCTTGGCTGGGGTGAGTGAAACCTTCCCGAGGCAGGAGAAGCCCTTCCTGTGTTCTCCCAGGATCCTGAGTTTCAGGTAGATTTGGGCTGCAATAGCTGAGGTCGAGTTTTTCCCGCGTTTTCTGCTCTGTGCTGGGATTCCAGTGGGAAAACACAGGATTGCAGCAGTTTTTTCCCCCACAGTTCCTGCATTTGGGTGATGTTTTTCCACAGATCCTGAGTCCTTCCCCTGAGATTCCCTCTTCCCTGTCTGCAGGACTGCCAGCTCTTCCCTTATTTCCTTCCTCTTTTCCCATTGGCTTCTCCTTGCCTTTTTTTTGTTTTACCATCAGGAATTTGGGATTTTGTTTCTCTTTGAAAGCCCGCCCTGTTGCAAGTCATTTTCAAGGAATTAAAAAAAAAAAATAATGGAGCAACCTCTTCCAGCACCTCAGCTGCCTCTGAGGGGTGTCATTCCCTTTGTTCCCTGTTTTTTAGGAGCGTTTCCTTCGGGTGGAGCTGATGAGTGAGGCTGCCAAGGACGGAGCATCCCGCGCCTGCTGCGTGTCAGGATGCCCAAACACGTTGGATCCCAGCTCCAGGCTGGTTGTCAGGAAGCTCCCGTTGACTCACGTACGTCTCTTCCCTGGGATTTTGGGATTGGGAGCCTCCAGTCCCTGCTCCGAGCCGGGATCTCACCCCCACCACTCCCCATCCGTGGCACTTCCCAGGGGGGTTCCAGGTTGTGTTCACCTCCCACAGACCCCCTTAGTTCCTGAACTTCTCATCTGAGACACCGTGTGGGCTGAGCTGGAGCCAGTTTGGGGGTTTGGTGGTGTCAGATCCCACACCTGAGCCTGGAGCCTCTGCTGGGTCCGTGGAGCAATCCCTGTGGGATTGGCAGAGCACCCCTGGCCCCAGGACCAGTTGATTTTGGGGCCCTGGTTTGCCTTTGCTCCCACCCTCTGGCTCTGGGGAAGCCTTGTCCAGAGGGTACCACGAAGGCCAAGCTCTGGAGTGACCACGTGGAAAATCTGGGAAGCTCCACGTGCAGGACAAGGGACAGCAGCTGGCTCTGATCCCTCCACAGGGACACGAGGGAACGGCCTCAGTCTGGGCCAGGGGAGCTTTAGGTGGGATACTGGGGAAAACTCCTGCAGGGGAAGGCTTGTACAGTGGTGGATTCCCCATCCCTGGAGGGATTGAACAGCCCTGTGGATGTGGCACCTGGGGACACGGATTAGTGGTGGCCTTGGAAGTGCTGGGGAGTGTTGGACCAGATGTTAAAGAGATCCTTCCAACCCAAACGATTCCATGGGTCCATAAGGGGTTTCCGTGCCTTGGGCACATCCCTGTTCCCTCCCCTGGCTGGGAGGGGCTCGTGGCCCAGGCTGGCAGCGGAGCTGGTGCTCCTGCAGCTCCCTGTTCCCTGACATTCCCGTCTGTCCGTCCCGCAGAGCACCGGCAGCCGCGATCCCGGGGGATTCCTGTGCCCGCCTTGCAGCCGGCAGCGCTTCGGCCCCCTGGCTGCGCTCACCTCCCTGCCAGCGCTCCAGACACAGCCCTGCCAGCCCTAAGGGAGCCCTGCCAGCTTCCCAAAGCCTGCTGGCACATCCCAGCTCGGGAACCAGGCGGGTACCGGAGTGGGGTTTGGATGGATGTTGGAACGGGATTCCAGCCCGGCTCCAGAGGAACCCCACAGGCTCTGGGAGAGCTTCCCTGCAGCTCTGCCTCGCCTTCCAGGAGCTGGGAAGCAGAATATTCCAAAGAACGTGCACTTTAAGGACTGGATCAGCATTAATTTCGGAGCATTATCCCTGTTAGCTCTGGCACAGTGACCAAACTTCTCTGGATATCCCCCCCTCCTCCCTGACGTCAGCCCTGGCTGAAATCCCTCGGATCCACTGGCAGAAGAGGAAAAGCCACCCTGGAAAGCTCCCAGAGGAGCAGTCTATTTCTGGGAAATGGACTTTCCCTGGGCCAGCAACGGGAGGAAATCATTAATCCCTCCCAGGGAAGGAATTCCCCTTCCTTGAGCCAAGGGCTTTCCCAGCCTGTTCCCTTTGCCCAGCACCAGACCATGGGAAGAACTGCTCTGGTTCGGCACAAACTGGAGGGAGCTTTTCATCCCAGAATTCAATTTACAACCAAAAAAAAAAGAAAAGCCTTAAAAACTTCCTTTTTTTCCTCTTCCTCAAGAAGTGCCTCAGCAGCTCTTGGAAATGCCAGTGGGATTTGCTCCGCTGGGCCGCAATTCCAGAGCCTGCGAGCCGGGGAAGAGCGGAACTGGAAGTGCTTTTGGAAGGGATTTGCCCTCGGATCCCGGCCCAGAGCTGGAGGAGGCTCGTGCATTCCATTATTCCCACGGAAGGGCTGACTCCAGGAGCACATTCCCTGCTCCGCTCGCCCTGGGGGCGGGAATTCCCGCTTGGATTGGGATGTGACTGCAAAGCCATCGGAGCAGGAGCCTCCAGAGCTCCCTCCCAGCTGTTTTCCCACCGTCCCACGGGAGGACGAGGCACAGCAGCCAGGGAAGAACATGGAATCCCAGCTCTTGCTTTCCAACCCTTTTCCAGGCATGGGAATTCTGGTGCCTGCCGAGCCCGTGGTGCTGCAGGAAATGGATTTCCTCCCAGTCCAATCCAACCCTTCCCGATCCCGGCCGAGACCCCCAGTCAGTCAATCAATCAACTGCTCGGTGTAATTTTATATAAAATATAGATATTTATACTTAAAAAAGGCACCAGAGCTGCCTGTCCTGAAATCAAGGAAAACAAGTGGATGAAGGAAAACCACTCCAAGGGAAATATTCCCTTAAACCATGTCCTGGAAATATTCTTCTTGGAATATTCCCTAAGCTTGGCCTTTGAGAAGGGCCTGTAGTGAATTTGCTCCAGGTTGGGATCCGTGGGAGCAGCCAGAGCCAGGGGGGGATAAGGAATCTGGAGCCTGGATCGGTGCTGGAAGTGCTTCCAAAGGATCCCGGAACTGTGTCCGAGGGTGGAACCCTCGGCTGGAAAAGAGCAGGAAAGGGGTGAGGATGAGTGGAAGGACCTCTGGATGGGTTCCCTCTCCACCTGATTCCTGGGATCTGGGGGAATTTGGGGGCAGAGCCGCTCCAGGAATGGGGTTGGGGTCCCGTTGGGCAACTCTGGATGTGCTGCTGGACAGGGAATGGGCACTGCTTGGAGCAGGGGAGCTCAGCTGCATCCCAAATCCATCCCAAATCCAGCATCCCAAATCCCCGCACCCCAAACACCCAAATCCAGCATCCCAAACACCCAAATCCAGCATCCCAAACCCCATTATCCCAAACCCCCAAATCCATCTCCCCAAACACCCAAATCCCAAACACCCAAATACCAGCATCTCAAACACCCCAATCCCGGCATCCCTCGCCCTCCCCTGGGCCACCGACCCCCCCCATCCCTCTCCCTGCCCCCCCCCAGCACCCCCAGGGCCAATTCCTCCAGACCCCTGATCCCGGGAATGCCCTCACCTGTGGGACCTGGAGCCGTGTGATCCATGGCAATCAGGATTCCATAGGATTCAGGATTCCATGGGATTCATGATTCCACGCTTCAGGCTGGGATGAGCAGCCCCACGTCCCTCGGGATGAGGCTGCTCCACGCGGAGCCCATGGCAGCGCTCAGGGAATCCTCCGCCCTTCCCCGCCATCCTGGAGCGTCCCTGGGGCTCGGCCATGCCAAGGTTTTCCCGGCTTTGGGCACTCATCCCGTGGGATCGATCCCGGGGGGAGCCACCATGGGAATGTCCCTGGGGGTGACGTCGTAGCCCCGGCCTGGGCGCCTGTGCGGGGTGAGAGGAGCGGCCCCGGCATTCCAGGACCTTCCCTGGCATTCCAGGACCTTCCCTCGGCTTTCTGGGAAGCGCAGAGCCCAGGGGAAACAGGGTGGGAAAACCCGCTGGGGTTGGGAATGCTGGGGTTGGGAATGCTTACATTTTCCTCCTCCTCCAGCAGCAGCAGGCCACGATCCCGGTGAGCAGGAGCGCTGGGAACCCTGTGGAAAAGGCAGGGATGAGGGCACAGCCCAGCTCCAAACAGCTCCAAAGAGAGCCAGAAAAACCTTGGACACAATCCCAAGGTGCCTTCCCCACCCTGGCAGGGATAAAACTGGGAATTCTCCTTTTCCAGGAGAAGCTCCTTCCCACCTGGGTGACATTCCCATTGGAATAAAGCTCCCACAGCCCCGAGGGCTTTGAAGCTTAAAAACTATGGAAAAGAAGCCCCTGCTTCCCAAAATAAGCTGGTCTTACCAATGGAGTAGGCCAAGGTCTGCGTGGAAGCTGGAAAAGAAGGGAGAAAGGGAGATGGTTTTTTTTAGCTGGAAAAGCTGGGATAGTGGGAAGAGCATCACTAAGGAGTTGGGGGAGAAGGGAAGAAATTCCCTGGGAAAGGAAGAGGATCTTTTCCTGGATGAAATCAGCCCGGGGGCGGGTTGTATTCCCACGGGAATCTCCCAACCTGTGGCATGGTCCGTGGGGGCGCTGGGCAGGGGGGCTGTCCCCTCTCCCAGCGTGGATGTCTCCGGTGCTGTCCCGTCAGCTCCGGGCTCTCCCGCCGGAGAAGGGCTGGAAGTGGGGCCGGTTCCTGCAGGGAGAGGGTGTCAAATTCCATTCCAATTCCCTTTCCAGTTCCCAAAATGCAGTGCCAACGCAGACACCCCAAATCCAGCACCCCCCCAAACACCATGGGATTTCACTGATTCCCTCGGAATATTTTGCTTTCCACCCCACAGATCTGGGGGTCTGTGCCCCCCCCCCAGATCCCAGAATTTGTGACTCCCCGTTCCTCACCCCTCGGGGTGGTGCTGTCCCAGCGCGGCTCCCTCGGGGTGGGGGGCGGGGGGGTCCGTGGAGGAGGAGCCGGATCTCCTGCGGGGAAACACCACGGGGAGACAAAAACCAGGGAATGAACCCTCCAGCCCCGGCTTGTTGGGATGGAAAAGGGGCAGCCGTCGATGCGAGGGAGCGGGGATCGCTCCACAAAATTATCCATCGCTTATCCAAACTTTTAACCCTCTTTAGCAAATGGAGGAATTAGTGTCGATCGCCATCAGTTCATTAATTAACATTCCACCCTCTGTCAGTCATTAATCCTCACTCTGATTCACTCTAATTCATTAACCCCCATTTTAAGTCCTTTCATCATTTTTTTTCCCCTGATGGATCTTTTTTCCATCGGTTTCTTCCCCCCCTGCTTCGGGAATCCTTCAAACCCTGAGCCAAATCCTCCCAGCCCTACGCTTGGAATTCCTTTTCCCGCCCCCGTGCGTTATTCCAGGGGTTCACCCTCCTCCCGAAATGCTGATCAGGGAATGCCCCCTGCTCTCCCCGCTCCCTCTGCCCGATCCCGCGGAGCTCACGGATGCACTGGAGCGTGGGGTGTGTCCACGCGGGCCGGGCGGAGCCGTCCCGCAGGATGCACTGGATGAGGTTGGAAGTGCCGGCTTTCCTCTTGTAGCCCGGGTCGCAGGAGTAGCGCAGGAGCGAGTGCAGCCCCGTGCTGTTCCCAGCCTCGATGTGCGCGTTGGCCACGGCCTTGGGGCGGCTGCATCGCGCTGGAGAGGGATGGAAAACGCCTGGAATCGCAGCCGGGACACCGGGAAACCGCCGGGAACGTCCCTGGGAGCGGCCGAGCCCGGGCGGGAGCGACCCGGGAGAGCGGAACGTCCGTGCCCGTGCCTGGAGCTGGGCGGGCTCTGTGGTCCCTCCCAACCCAAACCGCGCCGCGATTCCATGAAATCCTGGCTAGGGGGTGGATACAGAGATTGGATGCTACCCCCAGGGCTGGGAGAGCCTCATCCAGCCTCCGGAAATAATCCGGGATGGCTGTGCCTGGACGCAGGAATTAGAAAGGGAAAACTGTCCCTGGCATCCTTGTGGTCACCTGGAGCAGCTCCTCCAGGGAATGGGAAAGGGAAAACTGTTTCCAGCATTTCTGCGGTCACCTGGAGCAGCTCCTCCAGGGAATGGGAAAGGGAAAACTCAGCTTTTGGAATCTTTGTGGTCACTTGGAGCAGCTCCTCCATCCACCAAAGACTTTGTGGAATTCCATCCCCGTTTCAGACCATTCCAGGACAGCGGCCCCGGCTCCATCCGGCCCCGAGCTGCTGCATTTCACCACCCCTGCTTCCTGCCTTCGTTTTCCAGCTGGACATGAAAAATTCCAGACACTACACGAGTCCTCCAGCCTGTTCCCAGGGGTTTTCCCCCACTCTAGAGGCTTCAGCTGGAATCCAGCATCCCGGGATTGGGGGTTATGGCTTTGCCTGAGGCTGATTTCCCAGCAGGCTGCTGGGAGGAAGTTTCCCAGTTGCTCCAAGGTTGTGCCAGCACATTCCCTGCTGGAGCTCCCTTGGGAATGGCTCATCCCTGGCTGCTGGAGGCGCCTGTATCCCGATGGGAGAGGTGATGATCCAGTGCTGGGATGGGGAGGGATACAGGGGGGATAACACAAAATAGGGCCGGGAGGGAGTGGGCACAGCTGGGATGGGGAAATGGATGGGCAGGATGTGATGGATGCTTGGGATAGGGTAAGTGACGGCTGGGATGGAGTGAGGGATGGCTGGGATGGAGTGATGGCTGGCTGGGATGGAGAGATGGCTGGCTGGGATGGAGAGATGGATGGCTGGGATGGAGTGAGGATGGCTGGGATGGAGAAATGGATGACTGGGATGGAGTGAGGATGGCTGGGATGGAGAGATGGCTGGCTGGGATGGAGTGAGGATGGCTGGGATGGAGTGAGGATGGCTGGGATGGAGAGATGGCTGGCTGGGATGGAGCCATGGCTGGCCAGGCTATGATGCACAGATGAGAAGGAGCAGTGCAGGGCAGTGATGGGAAGCAGGGATCCCAATCCGGTGTCCCGTGCCATGGATCATCAGGTGAGACAAAATGCCAGGGGGGAAAAGGACAGGAAATATTTGGGCAATTCCGTTTCTGCCCTTGGGGTTGCGTGGTCCGGGTTTGGGCTTTGATCTCTTGGCAGGGAGTTAGGATTTCCCCTGGATGTGGCAGCCCAGGTGGCCGAGGATTCGTCCCGTTCCTTGGCCAGCATCCCAAATGAGCGGTGCTCGGTGCCAGCCTTGCCGGGAAAGCACCTGCAGCTGCCTCGTTTCCATCGGAATTCCCTGCATCCTACTGGGATTAAATGTCCGGGCTGGAAGCACTCGGCATTCCCGGGGTTTGTGTTTGCAGGGACGAAGTTATTTTTGTTTGGCCCTTGTTTTGTCCTTTTCTGCCAGAGATCCCAAACGCTGCCGCTGAGGAGGAGCTGATTCTGGCCGCTGGAATTCCAGGATGTTGGGAAGCAAAGCACTGGGAACAAGGCCAGGAGGGCCCGGACGTGGAGGTGCTGCCCTGGGATGTCGTTCCACGTCCGTGGGGATGTCCCGGGGAATCCACGCTGGGAAAACCTGACTGAGCCCCTTGGAAAGCCGTCACCAAAAAAAAGGCTGGGAAAAGAGGAATTTCGGAGGTCTGGCCCCAGCACTGGAGAGTTCATGAGAAACGCCACAATCATGGAGAGAAACCAAACTGTACCGTGTTTCAACAGAAAAATGGTTACAGTGTTTTTATAAATATTTTTGGAAAGCAGGAGAGGACGGGACTGTGGGATGCAGCAGCACATCCCAAATTATCCAGCACCTCAACTGGAAGCCATAAACACCAAATTCCTGTTCTCCAGCTCCCCCTAAAACCACGTCTTCTGCCCCAAGCGGGTCCTCAGTGCACCAGCACTGCCAGGAATGTTGTCCCAAGGGCCGGGATTGGTGCTCAGGGGGCATTGGCCCCAGGGAAGGATATTTTTAGTGGCTGTTCCCAGCACTGGCAGCTCTTCCCACTTATTTTTGGATGTTCCTCAGCCCTCGCCGCTCCCGTCACCTCGTTATTGATAGGGATAAATTCATTTTCCAGGGCTTTGGCAGCAGATGGGAGCCTGCAGAGGAGGCAGCCCTGAACTGTCCCGAGGCTCTGTGCTCCCTTCCAGCTGGATTTCCACACAAATCCTTCCCACTCCCTGCATTTTCCATCTCTTAAATGTTTCCTGACGGTCCTGGGGCTGCCGGAGGCTGCTGGGGGTTCTTGGAATCGCTGCTCAAGGATGGGACTTTTCCCACAGCTGCTGCGTGCAGGGAAGGGGCTGGAGAACTCCTGAGGGAGCAGTGCCGGGTTAACCATTGGACTCCACGGCCTTAAAAGTCCTTTCCAGCTCAGTGCTCCAGGGATCCCATCATTTGGTGCTCTGGGAGAGGCCAGAGGTGATGGGACACTCCCAGTCCAGCAGCCACGGACAGGGCACATCCCACGGGAAACCCACAGAGCCCACCCGGGGTGAAATCCCACAGGAATACAGCTCCCATAGGATACAGCTCCCATGGGATACAGCTCCAATGGGATACAGCTCCCACTGGGATACAGCTCCCACGGGATACAGCTCCTACAGGATACAGCTCCCATAGGATACAGCTCCCATGGGATACAGCTCCAATGGGATACAGCTCCAATGGGATACAGCTCCCACAGGGATACAGCTCTAATGGGATACAGCTCCCACGGATCCACCGCCTACACCCCCCCAGCTTCCCTGGACATGGAGAGAGGAGGGTCGGGAATGCAGCAGGGAGGGCACCGAGAGCTGCCAGGGGAACACGGGGGGGGCACCCCGAGCTGCAACTGCGGCACCCAGGGAGCCCTTTGGGCCTCCGGGGAACAGGGTGGGCACCCCAGGGAGGGGCAGGGACACCCCCAGGGGAGCTGGGCTGTCCCACGGAGGGGCAGGGACACCCCCAGGGGAGCTGGGCTGTCCAGGGAGCAGCCTGGGAACCCAAGGAAGCGGAGTGGGCACCCCAGGGATGGCGTGGGCACCCTGGGAGGGAGGATGGGCACCCTGGGAGGGAGGATGGGCACTCACAGTGGGAGCTGGAGTAGCCCAGAGAGTGGCCTGGGCACCCTGGGAAGCAGAGCTAGCTTCCCCAGGGAGCAGAGCAGGAACCCTGGGAAGTGGCCTGGGCATCCCAGGAAGCAGAGTGGGCACCCCAGGGATGGTGTGGGCACCCCAGGGATGGCCTGGGCACCCTCAGGAACAGTGTTGGCACCCCAAGTGGGGGCTCAGGGAGCCCAGGGAATGGCGTGGGTACCCCAGGAAGCAGAGTAGGCTCCTCACGGAGCGGGGCAGGCATTCCAGGGAGCACTGTGGGCATCCCAGGAAAAGGAGTGGGCACCCCAGGGACAGAATGGGCACCCCAGGGGTAGTGTGGGCACCCCCCAGAATAGCGTGGGCACCCCAGGGAGTAGTGTGGATACCCCAGGATGAGGAGCAGAGCCGGCAGTAGCCTGGGCATCCCAGGAAAGGATTGGGCACCCCGGGAAGGAGTGGACACCCGGGGAAGGAGTGAGCACCCGGGGAAGGATTGGGCACCCGGGGAAGGAGTGGGCACCCGGGGAAGGATTGGGCACCCGGGAAGGATTGGGCACCCAGGGAAGGAGTGGGCACCCAGGGAAGGATTGGGCACCGGGGAAGGATTGGGCACCCAGGGAAGGACTGAGCAGCCCGGGGAAGGCTCGGGCAGCCCGGGCAGGGCTGGGAGCCGCCGCGGGCGCTCCGGGCAGCCGTGGCAGCCGCTCTTACCGGTGTCGGCGGCCCCGCGGAGCAGCAGCAGAGAGAAGGTCCCGCAGAGCAGCGGCAGCAGCGGCCGCGCCATCGAGCGGCCCCGGGGGCGGCTCCGCGGCCTGGAGGGGCTGCGGCTGCGAGGGGGCCCCGTGGAGCGGCCCGGGCTGGCCCGCCGGGCCACGAAACGATCTCGATTTCGCTTTCGCTTTCGAGCCGGGGCCACCCCGAGGGACGCGCCGCCCTGCAGGGATGGGGACACGGGCAGGGACGGGATGCGCTCCACGGGACAGCGGGAAACCGGCACCCGGGGGGATATTCGGGACCCGCGGGGGGATTCGGGACTCGGGGGAATATTCAGGACACGTGGGGATATTCGGGATCCCGAGGGTGCGATATCCGTGAGGGATGAAATACCGGGATTCAATAGCCAGAGAATCCAAAAGCTGGGAGGGGAAATGTGTGGAATTTGGTCCCCGAAGAGGGATGGAACGGCCGGGAGGGGATGGAACACCGAGAGATGAGGGGGATTCAATGCCCGGGGGGATGATGAGGTATCTGGGGGAATGGGATACCTGAGGGGAGGAAACACCGGGATGAAAAAGCTGGAGGGATGCGATAACCAGGGAATACGAAGCCCACGGGGGAACTGTGTGGGATTTGGTCCCGGAAGAGGGAATGGAATGCTCGGGAAGGAATGGAAAAAACAGGGAATGATGAGATACCTGGGAGGGCGGGATACCTGGGGGGTGAAACACCGGGGCTGGGGTGGCTGGAATATCGAGGGGGGATGCAACAGCTGGAGGGATGGAATAGCCAGGGAATACAAAGACTGGGGGGGAAATGCGTGGAATTCTGTACCAGAGGAGGGATGGAATGGCCGGGAAGGGATGGAACATGGGGGGACGATGAGATGGGTGGGATGGGATATCCCGGGAGAAAGGAATTCCTGGCTGATGTGCAGAGCTCAGTCGGGAAGGGCAATGCCAGGAGGGTCGCGGCACTGCCGGGATGCAAAATATCTCGGGAAGGGATTAAATATCTCGGGAAGGGATTAAATATCTCGGGAAGGGATTAAATATCTCGGGAAGGGATGCAATATCTCGGGAAGGGATGCAATCCTGGCAGGATATCACTGCTCGGGGGGATGTGACACCCGCGGGGACCGCGGGATGCAATTCCTCCCTCCAGTGCCCTGGGGGCAGCCGGATGGGATTCCCTGGGGATGCGGGAGCTTGCAGAGCTGGAGCTGGAACTTGCTGGTCCCCAAAAATCCCCTCAAAGCAGGAAATCAAGCGGAGACCCGCAGAGCTCCCGTGTCGGGCTCTGTCCCACAACATTCCCGGGGCTGCACCGCTCCCACAGATCCTGCTCCCAACAAATCCCTCCGAGCTTGTGGCCTCTTGGCTTCCCCTGCTCTGTTTATTCCGACAGCTGGAATTTTATCTTGACACAGAGCATCGGAATATATTTATATATATGTGTGTGTAATTTATGTTTTTATATAATATGTGGTTTTATATAATATATATTTTCATATAATAAATAGATATTTTCTCTATTAAATATATAATATGAATATATTTTATAAAAATATATTATAATAAATAAAGAAAACAATACAAATAAATAAAATTAATTCTATAAATAAATATTCCACAATATCTAGGAAAGGGAAGGAAAAGGAATATTTGGCTCATAGCATTTCCCGGCCAATTCCTCATGGGAAGCAGGTGAATCCGCGCCCTGCCCATCCAGGAGCGAGAATTAACCTTGATTGACTTCCCCTGCGGCACAAAAGGTTTCACGGCTGGTGAGCGAAGAGTGCCAAGGGCATTTTCATCGTCCAGAAACCTGGAAAAAACCTGGGGAAACGAGGCGGGGACGGGCGAGGGCGGGGACCGGGAACGGAGCGGCCCAAAGTGCCGCCCCGTTCCGGGGCAGCTCCGGGCGGGCCCCGATGGCCGGGGCTGGGGGATGAACCCCGGCCTTGGGGGGATGAACCCCGGGCTGGGGGGGATGAACCGGGGCTGGGGGATGAACCCCGGGCTGGAGAATGAACCCCGGGCTGGGAGATGAACCCCGGCCTTGGGGGGATGAACCGGGGCTGGGAGATGAACCCCGGGCTGGGAGATGAACCGGGGCTGGGGGATGAACCCCGGCCTTGGGGGATGAACCCCGGCCTTGGGGGGATGAACCCCGGGATGGGGGATGAACTCCGGGCGGCTCCGATGGCCGGGGCTGGAGAAGGGACGCAGTATCTCGGGAAGGGATGCAGTCCTGGCAGGATATCACTGCCCGGGGGGATGTGACGACCGCGGGACCCCGGCCCTGCGATGGCAGCGAAGGCAGAGCAGAGCAGAGCAGAGCTCGCCTCGGGCTGGGCGGTCCCCGAGGCTGATAATGAGCCTTTGGGCGAGGAAAGTAGTTCTTGGAAGGCGCTGCCCTTTTCCGAGAATTTCTTCCGCAGGCCGTGAGCAAACCCCCCCGAGGAAGGGGCTGGTGTCTGACTTTGCGGGTGGGATTCTGGTGCACACGAGCTGAGCGGCTCCTGCTCTGCCCGGAGAGGAAAACTCCGGCGGGGGTTAACGCTGGTCGGGCTGCAGAACGGCTCGTTTTCCACAGCTTTCCAGGGAAATGCTGGGAATTCCATGAAAAACCCGGGCTGGGGAATGCCGAGGGATGCCCTCGGTGCAGGTTGAGCCCTGAGGCGAGAGGCTGTGAGCTGGCTGTGAGCTGTCCCCAACCAGCCACGAGCACGGGGACCTTCGTGGCCCGTCCCGGTGACACTGGGACACGGGAGGAGCTGATGATCCCAGACGTTTCCCTCCCTTAGGCGGTGGAGGTATCAAAATCCAGGGGGTCCTCTGTTGGGGTCCCCTCCCCAGAGCCACCGGCTCCAGCTGTTATTTGGTGATTTGGTTATTGCACCCAGATTTAGCTGATTCAAGGATTGAGACGTCGATATGGGAACAAGGCCTGGAGGGACAGGACACAGGGAATGGCTTCCCAGTGCCAGAGGGCAGGGACAGGTGGGAGATTGGGAAGGAATTGCTGGCTGGGAGGGTGGGGAGGGGCTGGACTGGATTTCCCAGAGCAGCTGTGGCTGCCCCTGGATCCCTGGAGTGCCCAAGGCTGGGTTGGAGCAGCCTGGGACAGTGGGAGGTGTCCCTGCCCGTGGCAGGGGGTGGGATGGGATGATCTTTCAGTTCCCTTCCATCCCGAACCACTCTGTGATTCCATGACCGCCTTCAGCCCTCAGGGAATTCCCCTCCTGGCCTAAGCCAAGCTGTGAAGCTGCTGGAGGGTTTTTTCAGGGATTAACTGGTCATCCCTCCTCCCTCACCTTGCTCGGGCAGTGGCTGCTCCTGGCAGGGACAATTCACTGCCAGCTCTGCCCTACAGAGCTCCCGGGCCGGCCCTGCCCAGCCGGAGGGGTCGGGGGGCGCTTGGCCATCCAGCTGGGATGGGGAATGGGAATTCCGGGGGGAGCGGGGGGAGGCACCAGCACAGCTGAAGGGGCTGAGGAGCTCTGCTGGGATTCACCTCTTTGCCCTTGGACGGAAGGGCTGCGGTGTCGGCTGCGACTCCCGAACCACAGCCGGGATTTTGGGGCGAGAAAAGCTGGATTCGGGTCCAGGATTGGAGCTTAAAGGGAAATCAAACTGCCTGGTCGGAGGTGCCAGCAGGGGTGAGGAGGGAAAAAATGTCCCTTTGGGTTCCCTTTCCAAGCAGAAAGCGAAAGGATGCAGCAAAGGAGCAGGAATGATTCATCTGCTCTGCTTTTCCCGGGGGGAATTAGCCGGGAATTCCCTCCTTTCTTGTCATCTCCGGCACGTGTTCCTGCTCCAAACCCTCTCAGCATGTGAGTTCATCCCCAAATCTTCCTGTCTCCTGGGAATATCGGGGGGAGTGGTTCACCCTGCTAACTGTAAATGGAATGATTTCCCAGCAATCTGCTCTGATTGGAATTGCTGCGAATGAATTCAGAGTCGCTGTCCCAGCCCCTGTCCCAAAGCTGGGGCACCTGGAAAAATCAAAACAGGGAAAAAACAGGAAGAGAGGGAGGGTTTTCCTGATCCGGGGAGAAATTGCAGTGCTGGCTGGGAGCTACAGAATTATGGAACACCTCCCAGGAAATAATAATAATAAATGTTCTTCTGTCTGTGGGTGCTTTGAAAACTGAAATCTTTGGCCTGAGGAAAAAACCAATGCAGGATTGGGAGGGAGCACAACAGCAACCACCCACTGCCTGTGGAAGCTGAGGGAAGGTTAACATTTAAATAAATATAATATATTTATATGTTATAAATAAATAAAATATTTAAATAAATTCTGGGGCTTCTGGGATGTTTCTGGATTGGGTTTCCCCTCCCCCCAAATCCAGGGGAAAAGGCACTGGATTAATTCCTTCATCTCTCCAGACTATTGGGATTGTGTTTGGTTTGTTGTTGTTTTGGTTTTTTTTTAATTGGGAAATAATTTGCTTTATCCTAATTCAGGGATTCTGCAGGAAAAGGTGCCCGTGCCGGGAGCTGGATTTGTTCCCCGTGGGAATAAATGCTGGGAATGGTCCCTCGGATCTTCATGTCCTGCCCAAAGTTGGGGGCTGGACTGTTAAACCCAGCTTAAACAGCCCAGGAAAGGACCACAATTAATATAAATCCCTCATAATTAGGATTAAATCCCTGTGAATGACCACACTGAGGCCCTGGAGCGGGAAAAATCCCATGGGAAGGGAAGGAGCTGGCATTATAAGCGGGAAAAGTAGGGAAAATATGACGGAATTAAGAAATCTGTTGTGCTCATGGAACAAAAAT